TATTACGTATTGCGAAAATTTTAAGTAATATATAATATATATATATATACGACGTTCTTTAAAATATATTATTAACAACTAATAAGAATGTATTAATAATAATTATTGTATTAATTATATTTGTATGTGTATATATAATATATATACACATACATGTATAAATATATATATATTCTTACATTCTTATTGCAAAAATCATGTAGCTTGTAAATTGTTTAAATTGCTATTGTTACATTTAAAAGAACGTGTATAATGATACAAGTTGGCACTTTAAAGCCAATATTTCTATTGAATTAAAATATAAAAACGCAGCAGCAGACATTAATAAAATTTCGCAATCAATATAACAGCACCAACAAAATCATGAAAAATTGTAACAGGAAAAATAAAAAGAAAAAGCTAAATAAACATGTAATTATTTTGAAAATTAACAATAATATAATAAATGTATTCTATAATTTTTAGTATTAATTAAACAATATAAAATATATACACAGAATATTTGAGGTTTTTTCATAGAAATATTGCGAGTATAATATTGTACGCTCAAAAATAAGAAAAAAATGTTATATAAATATATAATATAACCTCAGACACCCTGTAGATAACTTGTATTCTCTGTATACATATGCAAAGCTAAGCTGATCACATAACATAAAAAATGTTTCAGGGAATAATTCACGTTATCTTAAACCTTTTGTTTTTTTTGTTTTTTTTTTTTTTTTTTAAATATATTTTCTTATCTCTTTACTCTCTTTTTTACGAGTCGAGTGACTTTTTGTTATCGTCCCTCTGGAGTCAACAGCACACAGTTTCTGTGTCTTTTGTTTCTCAGGACAGAGCCACCCCCCAACCATATCACTAATCGTGCCGTAAATCAATCTCTTTAAAAGTATAAGAATAAATGAATCTGAAACATTTTTACTGTTGTTGTTGTTGTTGTTGTCAACGCACACATTAATTTTAAACTTATTAATTAAAATTAAACAAGAAGAAAAATGGAATGATTAGAAACAACTTATTATATCTTTAGTCTTTTACAGGCCAAAAATTTCTTCATAGACTACAGAATTAATTCTATAAAAATCATAACTGAATTAACAAGTACTTCAAAGTCTTCATCAATTTTTCTTTATCTTAACTTTTCAACAAAAGTATATAATTAGAGAGAAATGTTGTTTAAGCACTATAGCATATTTAACATAATTATATATATAAAGAAAAGATCTATTTTAAGGCATAATACCCAAAACAAAAAGATAAAAACAAAAATCAATACTAATAGCTTTTCTAGTTTTGAAAAACAAAAACCATCTTTCATTTTTTTTGCTCAAAAATGATATTATGCCCTAATAAATTCAGCAAACATACATACATATATATATATATATATATACGTATATTACCGTGAAAGACCAAAATTGGAGAATGTCAAAAGATTTACCTGATCGCTTGGTATATCGTCGTCGGTCTTTCACCGACGTACTTGGTATACGCGCGTTGACATTTTACCATGTGAATCTTGACATTCTTCAATTTCGGTCTTTCACAGAAACATATATATATATATATATATATATATTTCTGTAATAAAAATATTTATACCGGATAATATATTCATTATTCTCTCTCTCTCTCTCTCTCTCTCTCCTTCTCCCTATAAGAGAAATATTGAAAAATCTCGGAAAATATGTTAGATAAGAGAAAATAAAATTAGTTAAATATATACACTAAAAAGAAAAAGAAAGAAAAAAAAAAGAAGCATAAAATTATAAGAATGAAACATTACGAAAAAACACAACCATGTAAAATACTTTCCTAGTCATATATCTCTCTTCTTATCATTAAAATTATGAAATCTTTTAATAAATATTTTTTTTTCTTTTTTAGATTTTTCTCCCTTCCTTCCTTCCTTCCTTCCTCTTTATATATATTTTTTATTTTTATTTTTATTTTTTTATCATTTTTTTTGAAATTTTTTGTATATTATTATTATTATTTTTGTTTCAATGTAGAAATGTATAATAACTTTTGGTATTACTATATCCTTATTTATTTTACTAGGATAATGAATTCAGTCTATAAATACAGCACGATTTTCCTGTACTAAAAGTTGATCAATGAAAATATCTTCTGATGTCTCTACGTCTATCAATTTTAGACCAAGTACAATTTCATGAGGATTTTTGTTGTCATCGCAAGTCGATTCAATGACTATAGATACAAAATCCTTTTCTACTACCAATTTTTGAAATCTTATGCAATCTTCCACCGACCAATCCTTGTTAATAGGCCTTATTCCTAATAATTGCAATAATTGTAATAATTGTAGATATGATTCAGTATGTTATGTCTATTTAAAAATGACGACTTACCAACTAGCTTGGCCTTTATCGCTTGATACGGTAATTCTAAAAACTTACTTTCCAAGGGTTGTAATTTGTCTAATGATAGTATGTATACGTCACCAAAATCACAGAAATATACAGTAACCATATTTTCATCGATAATATTCATAACGCTTGCTCTAGAAAATATCATCATTTGAATATAATTTTATATTTTGTAGATTTTGTAGATTTATTATACATTTACCTATACCAACTGCCATCTTTACATTTAGCTGCATAAAAATTGCCTTCTTTAATCGATTCAATCGTTGGATATAATCCTTGATAAGTCGAACAAACTTTTTGTAATTCGATCATCATTGCCTGCATTCATATTTTCATGAGTATAATACAAATACATATATGACATGAATCAATAGAGATGAAATAAATACCTCAAAAGATTGTTTGTTATCGAGCGGTTGAACGGTAAAATTTCCAGGATTGGCAGCCATTGTAACATGTACATCAAAAAATTCGCGAATTCCTGTAATCTTCGGAGGCTTTAATGTTTGTATAATATCGTCGTTTTCATTCGTTGCTACTCGAGACGTAATACGTTTTCTCAACTTTACATTGTTATTACCATCTCCAATAGTTCTACATTCAAATCATAATAATAATAATAATAAAAAAAAAAAAAGTAACGAATTTGTACATGTTTCAATAAATAAGATAATTCCTCATTTTTTCCTACCTTTCGAGTTCTTCGTAAAGTAAGGTAGTATGAATAGAAACAAGCATGTTATCAGGTTGAATGCGCTTGAACATTTCTACTAATGGTGTATTGACAGACGAATAATCAATCACCCTTATAAGAATCGGTTGACCCTGTGGAACAAGTTTCCTTAACCGAGAAACCATCTTCTCATTAAATTTTGATTTCTCAATATTATGGAGATGTACTTTAATAGCCTGAAAAATAAACACATTTACTCAATTATTTATAATATATTAATATAAAAATAATATAATAAAAATTAAAAAAAAAAAAGAAAAAATGTAACCTGTGCAGGAAAGTTAGTTAACAAATCAGAAAGAGATTTCAAATCCAATAAACTGGCTTTATTGACAATCACTGTTTCGCCGACATCAATTAAGAACATCTTAATTTGACCATTTGGATAAATATTCGCCACTTCTCCTCTATGCCAATTTCCATTGACGGATACAAGATATTTTCTCATTCTGTCGACAACAATAACTGTACTGGATTCCAAAATATCTTCAGTTAGTCCAGTTTGCATCATATGATTTATCGAACCAATTAAGTACTTCATTCCCTCTGTTTGCATCTGAATGTAAATATCGCCATTCTTTTCTACGTACGAGACCAAAACTTCTATAACTTGTTCTTTCTGAAAATAAATGTACAAATATATTAGAATAATCAACTTAAGAGAGAATTAAGTAAAAATGATCATTTACAACCTTTATTTGAGGTGAAGCTTTAATATCGTCTAATATCATATCACGTAGTTCATTATTTAAATTGATATCTTTTGGAGTAGATGTATCATAAAAGTTAACCGTTGCATATGGACCATCTTTATCAAAGCCACAATTTAACACTTCGACATAAAAAGTAAGGCCAAGTAAACGATTTTCAATATGAAATAAAGCAGTTTCGCAATCTCGGAAGTCTTCCAAACCACTTAAACAAACGCGCATTGCCTAAAAAAAAAAAAAAAAGGAACAAGAAATTACAACTAATAAATAGTTGTCTGTCTATATTTATATATATATATATTTATAGTTGATAGTTTTTATAGAATATTTTACTTGAGCCGGCAAGCTGCAAAACATTTTATCTAATATGTATAAATCGCTTAAGGAACGTTTAACAACATCGCCATGATCGATGAATGAGACAGTAACAAGACCGGCGGTAATACTGTCGACTTCTTCACAGCGAACTCTATGCCAAGAATCATCTTCGAATATTGCATAATAACCTCCTATCTCGACTGATTTAACAGGAGATTGGCTTCTACCATAATATTCCATCATATTAGATAACATAATATCAAATTTGTCCTGGAAATTGTCGAATAAAGTTCAAATAAGTCAATAATTGTTAAAATTTACAAATGATTGCTTAATTATTATTATCATTGTTATTATTATTATTAAAATTGTAATTAGTATTAAGCTCTTACGCTATAATTAGGACCACCAAGTCGAACATAAACATCAAGTGCACTCATGATATAACTAACGTATACGATCCAATACTGATCTTCTGGCAATTGCAATTGTCCTGGTATTATTGATTCTATCGGATTCAACAATATTTTATCTGATTTTGTTGAAATGGAATGGCATGCCTACAATTTAGAACAAATTTTTGACAAAAATGGAAAATCACCAATTGTTAATATACAAGAAATAAATAGAAATAATGCTGCTGTACCTCTTCCGTTTGAATCTTACATCGTTGTAAAATAATAGAATTATCAGCACCTTTCTCTAATGCAATCTCAGAGCATTCTTTAATGATGTTAAGCCAATGTGCAGGTAAACACTCTCCGTATTTTTGATTGTAATATGCAGGTATTTGATCTTTGAAAACTCCATTCATGTGAGTATTGACAATTTCTTTGACACGGTTTTGTATTAATTTTTTATCGACAGTTTCTGTGACGTTAGACAATGAACCAAATTTATCAATAAGATCCTTCAATGCTATTTTAGCTGCTAATTTTTGTGCTTCATCGTTGGAACTTGCATCGTGTGGATAATTACTATATCCGTACGATCCTATCTATACATGTGTATTAACGATATATTACTAAAAAGAATAATTTCATAATTAAGATATAGCGTACCTTGACATGAGCATATATAGCAGCCATTACCGTTGTTGGACTTTTAGCATCTGGTGGTAATATCCTGTATATAGGTTCGGGCAAATTAAAATTCTTTGCGCAAACACTTAATTGATGTCTTGGATCTTCTTTGAATACCAAAATTGATTTCAAAACTGTTTCTTTCTGATTAGTTTCTTGCACCTAAACATTAACAAATAAACATTAATTATAGATCATTTCTAATAAGACAAGTGTAATAATAAAAAGATATGGTGTTATATACTACATACGGAGATTGTTAATGGTTCTTCTGTGCTCGAAAATGATGATGTTTGTTTGTTTGCTATTAATTGGGCAGGAGATAATGGCGATAGTACTTCAGAATTACAAGGCGTTGATACATTATTACTTATAGGAGAATGGGATGATGGAATGTTTGAACTCATTATAAGCCTTCCGCTTATATTCGAAGACGATGATTTTTCATTATTACTAGCTCTTAAACCTTGTAAAAGACGTTCTTGCATTGCCTTTGTTTTACATGTTATCGCACTTTGAGAAGACTTGTCACCACCATTGCCATAGTTTTTATTCAAGTTATTGTTGTTACATTTATTAACATTTTGGTTAATTATCATTTGAATAGCATTTGATTTTCTATCCTTCAATTTCTACAAATATAAATGATTCATTTTAATCATTTAATAAATTTTTGAAAGAATATTATTATTATCAAGTACAGATATAAAGTGTTTACTTTGCTAGGAGAAGTAAATGATTCTGAAGTTGCTTGTAAATATCTGGGTCTTTCTAAAGAAGAAATAGATGATGCATATCCTGTCGGAACTTGCATCAGAGGTATGATCCTAAATAAATAATAAATCACATATTTTTTTCTCTTTTTTTTTTTTTTTTTCATATATATAGAACTTATCATGATTTTGTAATTTATTCTATGATTAGAAAAAGTATATACTTTTCTTGTTTGTAACCAGCGTTATATCTGGTCGAATGTTTATTTAGCATGGAAGAATTTGCATTACGATTTCTCCCAGAGTTAATGACCCTCTTGGTTAAACGTGGAATTCGACGTGGCATTGAATTCTGATGGAAACTTTTCCGTGACTAAATAATACATAAAAAGATAATCAAAACATATCGTATCTTAGACGTAACTCTTATGTTATCGTATCAAATGAAAGCAACCTTTTTCCTAGTCTTCTGTCGTGATACTAGTTTAGAAAGATGACAAGACTTTTCATTAGGTAGAGCTTCTACATACGTTTTTCCATCTTTATTAGTTATTTTAATTCCAGATATTGATCTTAAGAAAGCTTCCAAAGATTGATAACCAAGCTTGTGATATGGTATACTTTCGCCAATGATTATTTTGAAATCTTCTGTATTATTATAAAAGAAACCAAAAATCATTATGGCGTCAATTTGAAGAGATATATTTAAGTAAGTATGATATATTATACATTTTCCAACTTACGGTTTATTTCATTTATGGGTACACCTCCCTTAGAGGACAATAATACCGCTCGCAAATTTCCTACGACCTTATCATAATCCATTTTGAATGTTATATCAAATAATCTATAACTTTCCTCAAGTACAAATCTGTAAAAAGTATCTGTTAACGTTTCCTCTATGTGCTTAATAACATTAACATTAATTATGTACAATGATATATCGATGATATACCGATGATATACAAATTTATATGAATATTTATTTTCATTTGTTTTTTTTTTTGTTTTTTTTTTGTTTCTTTTTCTGGTTTTTTTTTCACATACATATATGCACACGTATAATACGTGTCCATTAAGCGCGACCATACTTTACATTATAATTTTGAAAGAAAACAATATCTAACGAAATGCTTCATCTAACGAGATTTGGTAAACAACAAAATAAATGAAATACGTATTGAAAATATATCAATAAATTCGTTTGCGCATATTTGAATGGCACCTTTAATTAATAATCTGCACCAAACTCTTAAATATGTAGGCTACGTACAAATTATAATGTGTGACGTCGAAAATATTTCCAATCAAATATGCGACAAGAGAAATCAATTTCTTTTCATTAGTATATGTATATACAAGTACATATGTTAGGTAAAAGGTAAAAAAGTAAATCTTTAACAGAAAATTATTCGTAATTATTAAATTGTTTGATAATCTATATATTAGTCTATACATTACGACGACATAATCAAAGTCATTTCTTCTAAACGATTTCAACCAATCATGCTTGAACTACTTAATTATAATGTTCGTATATATCGTATGTGTAGATTGAATTTATTATATATCTCTTAATGTCTAATTCCCGAAATATATTTTATTACGTAAAATGATTACTAACCGGCTTTATTCGATCCTTCATAAATGTATTATTTCACCTCGATGTAATTACTTAGTTATTCTAATATGTCCGGCGCTTTATGACAGTTAACCCACAATTACGTATATAATCGTTCACACATTTCCTTTTGATTGTAGTATTGTTTGTACCATACATACGATCGAAAATTATATTTGGGCTGTGTCACACTTTCACGATTGAAAGAAGCTCTAACCTATCATGCATCAAGTATAGAGTACCACGTGATCAATCGACCAACCACAATTTATATTTTAATTGCGATAACAAATTGCTCATAAGGCGCGTATTTTAAAAGTTTATTTGTTAATACAGCACTAGAAACGTTTAGTTTTTCTATTTTCTTATTTGAATGTAAACACACACGCACGCACACACACACACACACACACACACACACAGAGGACAGAGATCATTTTTTCTTGAATACAAAATTTATCGTAATATAGATGAAGAATTTGTAGAAAAAACGAAAAAAAAGGTTTAACAGTAGGAAGTTTTATTTTTATTTGAAACTTTAATTGAAAATTATAAAGATTATTATACACGATCGTGATACATTTTTTAATAGAACACATTTAATTGAAAAAATAGGGAGATCGAATAAAAATCGAGTCGATTTCTACCATGAAAGAAAAATTTATTATCATAAAACTTGAAGAAAATCGTCTCGCGATCAATATTAGTTTTCAAATGTAACTTTGTTGTTCCTCGCCATTACATATAACAATCGCTTAAGCCATCATGAAGCATTTTTTAGAAGGAAATTTTTCAACTGAAGATTAATTGCAAAATGACAATAAAGAAAAAGAAGAAATAAAAAGAAGAAGAAGAAAAAAAAAATAAAAGATAATTAAAATAATATAATAAAAATGACAGCTTCAATTAAATGGCGGTTTACTCTTTTTTCGAAGCAACAGCCTGCTTGGCTTGATGAGCCTGCAGTACTGCCACAGCCTCCTCAACCTTAGCTTTTAATGACTCATTATGCTCCAGCATATGAAGAAGTTCCGAATTATCGATCTCTAACAACATTCCTGTAATCTTCCCAGTGAGTTGCGGATACATGCATTGTATCAATGGGAACAAACGTTCTCCCAACATTTGTTTCTGCTCTTGTGGTTGAGCAGCTGCTAACATGGAGGCAGTCAATGGTTCTTGGCCTTGAATGTGAACTGCCTGTTGGACCGGAGCTTGAGCAGGAACTGCCATCGCTTGCGGAGGATTACGCATATTTGATGTGTATTTATAATTGGAAGGACGGCTCTGTGGAGAAACTCCTACTGCTTGCCCAGCCATAGAACGTCCTTGCATGTTTGCACTGCCTACTGTTTGTTGACCTACAATAATGCAAAATGATGATTTTATATTAATGAAATATTCTTTTCTCTTACTTTCTTTCTTTCTTTTTTTCTTTATCTTACTTAGTAGTTTTATAGAATATTTGAAATAAGTAGTTGGAAAGTAAACTCGATATACGTTTACGACGTTACCTGTAATTGGCCTGGCAGATATCGTATTGCGTATGGTACCAGGTTGAGCGGCAGGAGCTCGCGGAGCAGCTCTAAACGGTCCTTGCATGGCAGCGAAGCCAGAGCTACCGGTCTGTGCATTAGGTCTAACTTGATTAGGTTGCGCCGGCCAACGAGGTGTCGCACGAATCTGGGATATTTGTGCCGGACCATAGAATCTTTGAGGTTGAGGAATAGTTGGTAGATAATAACTGCCAGCGCCACCGGGTTGGAATATTTGGCCCATTTGTTGCATACGCATGTTAGCCATGCGTTGCATATATTGTGAAGCAAGATGAGCCTTGCGATCTTCTTTACGTTGTGCTAAAGCAACGTATAACGGTTTGGTACCTACTATACGACCGTTCATCTCTGTTACAGCCTTAGTTGCTTCTTCCGGGGCTGAAAAGCATACAAAACCAAAACCTTTGCTACGTCCTTCTTCCATCATAACTTTAGCAGAGGTAATGGTTCCAAACGGTGTAAATTCTTTTCTTAAACGTTCATCGTCGATGGTGTCATCCAAATTCTTAACGTAAAGATTAACACCTTGATAACGGTTTAACCGTTCTATCTTCATTTGTTCAAACTTTCTCTTTAATTCTTGTTGACGTTCCGCCTTCTTTTGCGCTCTACCTACATACATACATTTTCCTTCTGCCACTTCTTTTCCATTTAATTCTAAAACAGCCTGTTCAGCGGCATCAGGATCTTCAAAGGCGACAAAACCGAAACCTCGAGATTTCCCGTCATCCTTGTTCATCACTTTATGACTTATGATGGTCCCATATTTCTCAAACATTTCTTTCAACTTATCATCGGTCATGTCTTCTCCGAAATTCTTTACATAAACATTGGTAAAAAGTTTCGCTTTCTCTCCCAATTCTTTTTCGCGTTCTTTACGAGGGATAAATTTACCGACATACACCTAAAAAACGATGCAAGAAAAATATTCAACTTAATCCAATATCTAATTTCCATTAGATGGAAGGTGCAAGGTGGAAGGTGCAAGGTGGAAGGTGCAAGGTGGAAGGTGCAAGGTGGAAGGTGCAAGGTGGAAGGTGATATTTACTATAATAAATAAAAATTACCTTCTTTCCATTTAACAGCATTCCGTTTACTTTGTCAATAGATTTATTAGCAGCTTCTTCTGTTTCAAAATGGACAAAGCCATATCCTTTAGATGCACCTGACTCGTCTTGAGCAACTTTGCAACTAAGAATATTACCGAAAGCAGAAAACGTATCATACATTGCTTTATTGTCAATGTTTTTATCTAAATTTTTAATAAAAACGTTCCCAACGCCAGATTTTCGAAGAGAAGGATCACGTTGGGACCACATTATCCTTATAGGCCGCCCTTTGATCATATCGAAGTTCATAGTGTCCAACGCGCGTTCGGCTACAATTCATTATACACATACAATTAATCATTATATCTAATCTTTTATTTATTTATTTATTTAATGAATAATATTGTAGAAAATAAATAGAATCATGCGCACGTGCTCAGCTACAATTCATTATGCATAATTTATTTATTTATTTAATGAATAATATTGTAGAAATAAATGAAATCATTAACACGTGCTCGGCTACAGTTCATCATATAATTGATAATAAAATCTAATCTTGTATTTATTTAATGAATCATCTTATATAAATAAATAGAAGCATACATTTACATTATAAAATGATTATAAAATGACAATAATAACGATTATTTGTGATAGAAAATGAATCATTGTAACAAAGTACAAATTCTTATGCATTCTTATGCATTGTTAAAAATATATAAATAAATATATATATATATGTAGAAAAAGACGAGAAAATAAGTATTAAATAATATTAAATAGTATTTTCTTTGATCTTTTCGTTAAATAAGCAAATGATATATAAATATATCGAATAGACGGCATGAATCGTTCAATCGTCATCCATTATTCAAAGTATTGCGATATCCAATATGGTGGCTTTGCACAATGTATTGCACGTGCCATGAGCGCATAAATAAAGCATGGTAAGATGCTTGTAGGAAGTAAGAATTGCGTGCAATTTTGTCATGCTTAGGAATAATAATAATGAAATACTCACCATCAGCAGGTTGTTGAAAGTTGACATATGCGTAACCAAGAGATCGTCTCGTAATCATATCCCGACAAACACGAATGGAAAGTACGGGGCCAGCCGATGAAAACTTTTCAAAAAGCATTGCCTCGGTAATATCGGTGTGCAAATCTCCCACGTAAAGCGAAGCCATTGGATAATTGGGAGCTCCTGGATTCATTTTTATTTTTTACCTGGTCTTGCGGGCTTTGTAGACGAAGATTTCTCAACTTTTTGCTTTCCCTCGATTCTTTCAATATGGCTTGCCCTCGGACCACGTCGTTCTTCGTAAAGCAATTACTATTTTTTTCCACAATTTCTTTAAGTATCGCGGTTTTCAGCAACAGTTTTACGATTTTTTTGGTTGTATTTTTATAATTTTATATTTTTTTTGGATTTTTTTTATAGGAGAGTTATTTCACGAATAGAATGGAAGTGGGTTGTGTGACCTATTTTGGAAAGGGACACAACCACACGTGAATAACACTCTAATGGTTAGTGAGGAAGAGGCGTTTAAAGTAGTTCCTCTTACGCTTAAATATCGGCCGCAGGATACACTCCGTGCACGAAAAACAGTCCCTCTGCAATGATTTGCGCGCCATCTTCAATTATTTTCTACGATAAACCTTTATTTATTTCTTTATATTTCAACAATATACAGTCTTTCTATTTATTTCTTTTTTCTCATTTATTTTCATGATTATTAATAAAATTATGTTTTCTTTAATAAACAAATATAACTTTATAAGAGAAAAAAATACAACCAATAAATACGAAACAGTCATAACAAGCAACAACCAATCATAACAGAGCTTTATAAATATTACGATGTGAAATCTACTTAAAGATAACACGTCATTGGTCCTTACGTTTATGGTGGATATTTATTATGACATATTATAAATACATAATACACATATTAATATAACAATTTAATACGAATACAATAATGTATTAAATATGAATAACCGTGTGTAAAAGTAATTTTCTTACAATCATATTTATTATATGGCAATAGTGTAGTGTGGCAATCTTTGTGCGATGTAGTCAGAATAGTCACGTGATCATGAGTCACATTCATTTAATTGGTTAAAAGATAAGAAATGTTATTATTTGTTTTTTATTATTTTAAAGTAATAGAAAATATTTAAACTAAAAAAATTATTTCATCTTTAATATCAAAATGATTTACATTTTAATGAATATAATTGTTCCACCACCTTTAAAATAAATATGTACATTTATGTAGTTTTATATCGACTCATTTTTAAAAGTATATAACAAAGAAAATTATACTAAAAGATTTATTTCTATATAAATACATATAAATATTTAAAAAGAGATAAAAAGTGGAAGTAGTTTATCCGATTGAATTTATCGTTATTTAACATCGTTAGTTAGTGAGTCACTAGTGATTCGAGTTTAGCGCCACTTTGATTGGTGGAAAGAGTTGAGAACTTATAGATGGCGCGAAACCTCATTTATATATGGCAAAATAATAAAATTGCGGTTCATAGAAAGATCCGCTCTGTTTGATTCTCTCTATTCGTCAATAAGCGACATACATTTTCAAAGATGATGTAAAGTCTCGAAAGAGAGAGAGAGAAAGAGAAAAAGAAGAAGAAGAAGAAGAAAGAATATAACATGATTAAAAAAAAAGCATGATAGGTCATTTTCTGAAATTTAATGTATTTGTAATATTTGATAGACAGCTGTTCCAGTCCGGTAGACATGTTCATCCTTACGAGCGAAGTACTATGTTGCTTTCGTCGCTGTCACTTTTATTCACGTAAAATAATGCGTAGATTTAGTGTTATTATGAATGCGAATATGTGTGTATGATCATAGTGTTCGTAGTACTTAATATAAAAAAAAAAAAAAATAAGAAAAATTCGTTTGTTCGTTTACTAAAAAAAGAAAAGTATAATAATAATAATAATAATAATAATAATCATAAGAAATAGTAATGGCTCAATGCAAGTTAACCCCACGGGAGTTTATCAGCAATACCTTTTCCCCACAAATTGCTGCAGTATGCACATCTGCTGCCGATGCGACATGTCAAAAAAATAATTTATCATTTGTTGAACTTTTGCAACCATTCTGCAAGCTAAATACCGAAGGTAATGATGTTTACAAGTTAGAAAAAGGAATACCTTTTGTGTTTAATCATTTCTCAAGTAGTTTCATAAATGTGATCCATTGATAAATGTTTGATGAATGTATGCATTGTACAATTATTGTAGGACATTTGAAGGATCCACAAGGAAATGTTATAACTATTAGAAATCTTCGACTTTCTATACAAGATGTTAATGCACATCCCCCTGAACCCAGTGTTGCAAGGAAAATGTTGAATGAAGCTGTTAGTTCGTCCATGTGCGAACGTACTACCGTTGTTCGTATTGGAACCGTTGATTTAGATATTCCTATATCCGTTCCATGGTTCGAAGCATGGAGAGAAATGTTTCTTAGCGTGCAGTTTCCTTCGGATCATGAATTTACAAGACACTTTTTGGCCTGTATGATTGTTGTTTCAACGGCAGATGATAATCCTTTAGAGAAAGTACAAGCAATGGGTTCGCAATTACACCAAAGTATTCCTGGGAAATTACCAAAGTGGTTTAATAACAATGCATTAAGATATTACATTCTAATACATGATGCCTTACTGGACGATAAGAATAAGTAATTATTAAAAATACAATTTGTCCTTTTCTTATTTCATCATTTGTTTGATTACTACATTTATTAACTTTCATTTCAGGGCAGAAACTGTTTTTACAGAGATGAAAAATATTTATGGTGCTAATAATTGTTTCCTTTTACAAATGAATTCACGACCGCCAGGACAAATTGATGACAATTCACATTTACCAGATCCTTGGAGTCAATTTTTAATAAAACGTACAGAATTATCGAGCGGTAGCGAACAAAATAGTTCACCACGTACTCCGGCAGACATGGGAGGTGTATCTGCTATGCCAAATGAAGTGACAACAGAGTCAGAAAAGTAAATACAAGAAGATAGATAATTGTTGTTCTAATGCACAAATAATCTTTTATATTTATTGTATATTAATCTATTATAGATCGAGTCAAGCTGGAACACCGATTGTTCAGCAAAACAATGCATTAGTTTCTCCAGATGTAGCCGATACAATAAGCCTTTCTTCTGAAATGTCAGAACCTACTACTAGCAATGTGCAATTAGAAGTTGGACAAGAAGCAGTTTCTGTAACTATTCACCCCCTTAGTCCGGAGAATGACAAGTTGCATAATATTACTTCGACTGCTAATATTAAAGCTCATATATCTAGTAATTCACCAATTAATGCCAATGTTTGGGCAGATTCTCCAAATTACATTGCTGCACAACACGGTGCAAGATTATCTACGCAAGATCTTGAAAGACTGAGATCACTCGTAACAGAATTTTGTTTGAAAAGTTTATTTCCATATGTTGAGAAACAAATAGGTTTATTAAATGACGTTATTTCGAATAAAAAGGGTGTTAGTAGATCACTCTTTAGCGCAACAAGAAGATTGTTCGGTACAAATAAACCAGGAGCACCAGGATCCGCTCCATTAAATGCTGTGATGTATGTCGTCCCTATTTATTATCTCTTGTCTCTTTAGAAATAATATGAAAATAATTAAAAAAAAAAACAACAACAAAAAAAAATGGATTATATATTTACCAATTGCGTCCGTATTAACACCAATCCAATAATGACATTTCAACAAATGTGTTGTTTAATTTCAGTTATACCGCAGAGTCTTCCGAATTACAATTGCGTCGTTTGGGTGATTTGTCTTTTATATTTGGTCATTATTCGCTGGCTTATCAAGCATACCACAGCGCAAAACGAGATTTTGCAAGCGATCAAGCATGGCTTTATTACGCGGGTGCTCTAGAAATGGCTGGTTTGAGCGCTTTCATGCAAGGTGAAATGAATCGAAAAACAATAGAGTACATGGATGATGCAATATTAACTTATTCAAATAGTTGTAAGATGCCCCAATTTGCAACGAGAGCAACATTGCTCAGCGCTGAGTGCTTGAAGGGCCGTGGATTATACGGGGAAGCAGCCAAACAGTTAATACGTATGACGTGCGAAGATTCTGATTTGCGTTCGGCTTTACTTCTCGAACAAGCTGCTTATTGTTTTATCGGTCCGAAAATGATGAGAAAGTATGCATTTCATGCTGTCTTGGCTGGGCATAGATTTTCAAAAGCAGGCCAACGAAAACATTCTTTAAGATGTTATCAGCAAGCTTATCAGGTAATATTATTGATTAGATATGTTCTTCTATCTAATGTCATTATAATAGTATAATCGTTAAAATCAATTTATATTATCATTAGGTATATCGTGACAGAGGATGGTCATTAGCAGAAGATCATATACACTTTACCATTGGTAGGCAAGCAGCTTCTTTAAAGCAAGTTAAAGAATCTGTCAAGGCATTTGAAAAATTATTAAATGCTAATAGTAAACAACCATCACTACAACAAGCTGCTTTTTTACGAGAATTTTTACATACTCATAATGTGAGTGAGTTTTGCGCATATGAAATGAATTAGTAGCAGTATTATCAATCATAATCAATATCAATGATCGAATAAAACCATTGATAAACAAATTTTTCTATATAGTTATTACTTCAAGAAGATGCTACGAATAACCAGGAGCTTCCTGTATTGCCTTTACCATTGATAGATAGTAACAAGATTAAGGTATTATATGGGCATTTATGCGAATCAACCGAAGATAGTAGTATTTCGGCGAGTCATGTATCATTAGACGATGAAGAGACAGACGATGTAAGATGGTCAAAGATGGAAGAAATACTTATAATCGAAGCTCAGGGAACACCACCTATGATATTTAAGCCATCCATTATATTGTATTCGAGTATAAGTAATAATACTGTCAAACCAAATGCCGTTTTGAATGAACCAGTGCATTTTTCTATTGAATTACATAATCCACTACATATACCATTACCATTATCTAACGTAACTTTATTGTGGTCATTTACATGTAATGATCATTCTGTTACTAATGAAACAAATCTATTGGAAGAAGGATTGTCGGAATCGGAACAACTGGTTGACACGCAAGTAATCAATTCGATAATATTACATCCAGTTTGTAAAGAACGTATTGTATTATCTCTGACACCTAAGCAAGTAGGACAGGTCAAAGTTTTGGGTTTGAAATACAACATGTCTAATCCAATTCATGCAATGTTAGACGCACCTATTACAAATCCAAGCATTTTTGTTGCTGGCAAACGATTGTTCAAGATCAAAGGACCCAAATTAAAAAATGTCAAAGAAAAGCCAGGCGTGCAAATATATGCTGCAGATTATAGATTAGAGATGAGTGTCATTAAAAAAGCTCCATATATGCAGGTAGACAAGTCATTTATTTTATTACTGATTATTTCACAATATTCATTGAATTCAACTAAACTACGTTTACAGGTTTATTTTAGCAAATTATCATCTGAAATGTTATGCGGAGAAATACAAAAAGTAGAAGTAACTTTAAAAAATATAGGAAATGCGCCATTAACAAATATTTATCTTACTTCTGTCAATGCTAAGTTATTTTCATTGGGAAATGAGGATGAACTTAATGGTAAATTTGTTTTACACTTTTTAATAATATACGTACGTTACTCTTATTAAACATATCATATATGTACGTATATACGTATATGTATCATTTTCAGAAGATTCATCGAAGAAAAGCAATAAAGCTGTAACAAAAGTTTTGCTATCTTCAGATAAAAATAACATTTTAAAAGTAGGTGATGTTCATAAGATGCCATTGTGGATCCAAGCGCCTTATAAAAAAGGAAGTCATAGATTAGATTTACTTTTTTACTATGAAAATGTTGACTCTGAAAGTATTAGTATTCCAAGGCACAGATTATGCAGACACACGTGGCATTTGGAAGTATTGGATTCGATTAAAATCAGAGCAATCGCATCAAAAAGTTCAGTATTTAAAGATACCTTACCGACATTAAATATGAAAATGTCAGTGAAGAACATGAATCAGATTCATGATACTTTAATTAATGAAATATCAATATTAGCTGTGTCTTGCCAAAGTGACACTTGGTCAATATTTAAATCATCTGTCCCAACATCTAATATTATAATACGGTCGCAGGAGATATTTCATTTTTTGTTTAAATTACAAAAGAAATCTGATAACTCAGCAGCAGCAGCAGCAGCAGCAGCAGCAGCAGCAATATTTTCAAATGTATCGATAGAAGAGGATACCAAAAACGATGAAATATCGAAAATAGATTATCCGTTCATGAATTTTGTACAAAAGAGATATATTTTACCATTGGATATAGATGAAAATGCAGCTGATGTGCAATTGCAATTACAAGAAATTAATCAAAAGAATAAGGATCCTCTTTTAAGTACTATGATGATGAATTCGACTTTAATTGTTAGATGGAAAAATAAGGTAATAGAAAATGGTTGTGTCGTTAGGCAAATGATTGGTCAGCATCATATTGATATGAAATATTTGAATGAAGTTTATAAATATCCAAAAGAAATACAAGTAGAACAAAGCGAATATTGTGGACGTTTGAAGATATTTGGACCAGATAGGAATATACCAGATTTATCGATAATAAATAATAAAGAACAATTAGTAGGAGTTGATTTTCAAACGAATGCAACTATCTTCTGTAAAAATGTAATAACATTTTCTTTAAGACATTTACGACAAGGCGAGCATAATTTTAGAGAAAATAGACTTTGCGTTATACCAGTTACAATGTACATACAAAATCATCTACAATCAAAAATTGATGTCAGAATAAACACGATCGGAACAAGCAGGTAAAAAAAAAAATGTTGTGATAAAAATGTGTGTTTTTAATGCTCATTAGATAAGATTTGAATGCGTATTTAATTAGATTTTAATTGATTTGTTTTTCTTTCTTAGCGATACTCAACTTCCAAGTATTAAAACTCAACTTTACTCGCCGAATGCTTCGACAAACTTCCGATATATTAGTCATTCGACAATCAATTGTTGCATAGAGTCTCTCGCACAGAATACTATTAAATTGCAAGCTATATTATCAGCTCCTGGTACATACAATTTAGCAGCAAGAATAGAAGTATCTGTAAAAATTGTAAATAATAGAGAATTCATTCCTCAAGAATGGAATATGGAAAGTATATGCATTATGAAGAATGCAGCTGTATAAAATTCATTATCGCAATATTAGGTATCATTGAGATAACAAATATCACATTGATTACATTGTTTAATTTAATTAAAAATCATTCCTTTGCCTCTATCAATACATCTTACAATTCTCTTATTACTTTACTCTTAATATAATATTTGATAAATCAGAAAAAAATATACATTTTTATTCAAACAAAAACAAAAAGAAAAGAAAAAAAAAAACAGAAAAAAAAACAGAAAAAAAAAACAGAAAAAAGACAAGAAAAAATGTTTAGAGTGAAACAATTTTCGAAAATTTTAATTTGCATTAACTAGAACATTTACTCGTAGCTATAATAAATCATATTGTTGAGAGAAGTAGAGAAAAAAAATATTGAAATAGAAAAGCGATTTTAAAAATAAATACTTTAAACTGCGATATTATAAAGTAGGGATATATAAAGAATTATTACAAAATGAAGGTTTCATAAAAAGAAATAAGAAAAACAAATTAATTGGGGTTGACGGATCTACCTCATGAAAAAATATAACTTATTTGTATATTATTATTTGCATAATATTTCCATACGTGTGAGTTGTAATTGACTGGATTATTAAAACGATTAATTAATAGAATACATTTAAAATACATTAGATATTACAATTAATATTTTATAGAAACATATCGGTACTAAATACACGAATATATAAATTTTACATTTTCATTGATGTTCCTTAATATACTGTGTTCTATACAATGAAATTAATATATCGTTTCTTACCAAATTTCATCATTTCATATTCATAAATATTTCTCAAAATATATACGCGTGTTTTCTTTTTTTTTCTTTTAAACTTTATAATATTTATTAAAAATGATAAAAATACTTTGTGAAATACCAAACAACAAATGTCAACATTAAAGTTAATTTCAACAGAAATAAATTATTTGAACAAAATATAGAAAGATAATTAAAAATTATACAAACTTGTATTTCATGTATTTTATGTACAGAGAATATTTTAAATAATATATATATATATATATATATATATATATATATATATATATGTATGTATATCTAGAATGCAAATGAAAAATAAAACGTACATACATTCTAGTTTATTAAAGAGTAAAGAGATTACAATAAAAAGTTGATTATTCATTCACGTTGTAGGGACATTATATTTAGCTGTAGTATTATTTGAAATCTATGTGCAAATACAATTGGCCAATCGTCGTGTAGCATTACTACGCAAACTCTAAATATTTCTCCCTAGATATTTGATTTCCCAATTTTTACAGTGTACTTGTGCTACCATCATAAGACGTACCATAGACGTACGCTTGAGTGTAATTTTCTGTCTAAGAATGGCCGCGATATTGTCTAACTGTTCGCGGTACACGCCTCGTGTAATATCGCGAATTTCTATATTACAAAATAAGGTAATTGTCATTATGATCACTGATTTTAGTATCAATTGTACTTCTCTATTAATATGATTCAATTTATATGATTGAATTTTTAACATTCTTTGAAATAATTTTAATAGAGAAATACGAACTGACGGAATTGCACCACCCTCTTGCCTCTCTTTTATTGTTATATAATAGATTAATGCAGTTCTTTCTTTATTTTTAATTTTATCTTGTCAATCGCCGTTAAAAATCATTACATACGTATATGTATATATACACATGCATTTAATGTTTTTTCATTTACAAATGTTCTTATTAACGTCCTTTTTATCTGCCCTCTCATGAGTTGTTGAAATGAGTTGAAGAAAATGTTTAATGTCCATTCAGAAACATTGTACCTACTTTAGTTTGTTCTCTTAGATATATCGTACTTTATCTTGAAGATAATATTGTCACAGCACTAACCAATCAAATTAATGTCATATTTGTCTATAAAAAAATTATTTTATTAATTATTATGGAAATTTAAATCAATTGATTTGAACATAGATGAAAAAACCATAACAACCATTCCATACGATTTTTTTTGCAGGTTGTGAGATCCTTACAAAAAGAAGGTAAGGTTAATTATTATTAAGGATATTAAAAGATATTAAGGAAAAAGTTATGTGATATAATCATAGTTCTAAAAGCATTATCTTTATAGAGTGCCATTAGATGACATTAAGGATAACTATGAACACATAACCTATTAATTACATAAAATCATTTTTGTAGGACGCATATTATATATCCATACCAAACATGTGGATGTCACAACTCCATTGTAAGTGAAATCATCTATTTATAAAGAGAATCTATTTATGTATTTTTTATATTTAATATTTATATTATATGAATTAGTATATGAGAGATAGAAATCAAATATTTTACAGACATTCGAATTCATTTAAATTAATTTCTTGAAATTTTTTTTTTTTTTTTTTATTATATAGATACTCGAAAAATCTCCAAACTCATAGATGGAAAATACCAACTAGATATTTACGTACTACTCCTGCATTGTGTAAGCAAATATTAATTATCCTTTTTATCATAAGAAAGTAATTTCTATAAAATATTATTCGATGATCATAAGATATTTGATATTTTGGTTATTATTACAGGGGAGATTAGAGAAGTTGTAGTACCGGCATTTGCCGAGAGCGTCAGCGAAGGAGATGTGAGGTGGGAAAAAAAAGTTGGAGATCAAGTAAAGGAAGATGATGTCTTGTGTGAAATTGAAACTGACAAGGTAAGCTTACACAAGAAGCACATGTCCTCCATTTAATTTCTTATAATAAATGATTAAATCGTTATATAAAGAATATTTGAAGATCGATACGATCGATACGTATATACATTTTAGACTTCAGTTCCTGTTCCTTCGCCTGGTCCAGGTGTAATTAAAGAGATTTTTAGCAAAGACGGTGATACTGTTAAGCCAGGACAAAAATTATGTACTATCGATATTGGTGCTACCGGTGGGGCTACCGCTGCACCGGACGTATCAAAGGCAAAACCTGCAGAAGCTGCACCACCACCGCCACCGCCACCACCACCAACACCTCCACCTCCACCACCTTCACCTCCTACAGCTTCAAAACCAACAGCGGCACCACCAGTAACTCCGTCAGCTGTGCCGCCGCCTAGCGCTAAACCTCCACCCCCACAACCACCAATTGCATCTATTCCAGTTGCTGCCATCAAGCATGCACAAGTGAGGGAAATTAATCTACATGGACATATATATTTTTAAGTAATTTCATATTAATAAGAAAAATAATACTTTTTAGTCATTGGAAGGAGCAAAAGTTCAGTTACCACCGGTAGATTATACGCGTGAAATAATTGGTACGAGAACAGAGCAACGTGTTAAAATGAATAGAATGCGTTTACGTATAGCGGAAAGATTAAAAGATGCACAAAATACGAATGCTATGTTAACGACATTCAATGAAATTGATATGAGGTTATTTTGATGATTCGATTATATATTATATATATATATATATTGAATATAATATTGAATATTTGAATATTGAATATTTATTGAGGTAAAGTGTACTAATGCATGGTTATACTTATATCAACAATTTGTTGTTTATTACAGTCGAATTATGGAATTTCGTAAAATGCATCAGGAAAATTTCACGAAGAAATACGGCCTCAAATTAGGATTCATGAGTCCGTTTATAGCAGCAAGTTGTTATGCCCTGAAGGATCAACCTGTTGTTAATGCGGTTATCGATGGTACCGACATAGTATACAGAGATTATGTCGATATCAGCGTTGCAGTAGCTACGCCAAAAGGTCTTGTTGTTCCTGTTATACGTAGTGTGGAAAATAAAAACTTTGCAGATATAGAAATCGCTTTAGCCGCATTAGGAGATAAAGCTAGAAAAGGAAAAATATCTGTAGAAGATATGGATGGTGGAACCTTTACTATAAGTAACGGTGGTGTATTTGGTTCTCTCATGGGAACTCCTATAATAAATCCACCACAAAGTGCTATTTTAGGAATGCATGGTGTTTTTGAGAGACCTATTGCAGTTAAGGGACAGGTAGGAGGACATATTTCATTTTTTTCATAGAAGAAGAAGAAGAAGAAGAAGAAATACAAAAAATACCCTGTACAATTAATTTTTCAGGTTGTTATCCGACCAATGATGTACATAGCTTTAACATATGATCATCGATTAATCGATGGTCGCGAAGCTGTGATGTTTTTGAGAAAAATTAAAGATGCGATAGAAGATCCAAGAATAATGTTGGCTGGTCTTTAAACAAAAGGATAACATAACATACTCTCTCGTCGAATTAAACGCGATTTAAACGCGTCTCTCATCCCTTTCTGCTGGTATATTTTGTACATTGCTCTGTGTACGATGCTCTATTGTATTATATTCTGTTCATTTATTGAAAGATTTTATATATACCAGTAAAGAGTTGTGTTGTAACGACTGAGATTAAAAGGAAGTATGACGACAGATGTCTAGAATTGAATGGAAAACAATTTTAGTACATTACAGGAAAATCGCGTTAAACGTGCATAATTTTAAAATCCGTACTTAAATATTATTTCTCGTACGAATCTGGTCTTTTAATGCAAGATATATATTTATATATTATATACTCTCCGTGTACTCTCCGTGTACTCTCCGTGTACTATCAATTGTAAACTTTTCTTATTTTTAATGTGTTTCAGCATAAATACCATTTTGGTATGTCATATAGAAACTTTTAAATATTTATACATTTATTAATTAATACTATATGAAATAATTGTTACTTATTATTTTAAGTTTGAAATTAATTGAATAATCTTATGTTTTCCAATATGATCAAAATAATATCTAACTCTATATGTAATTATACAATTATTTTCACATATGAAATTTGTATATTCAATTTGTCGAATCTTTCAATTTTTCATCTATGAGATATTTATTATGACACACATATATATATATATATATTATATTCGAGATAAAATATTTTTAATTTTGCATTTATGGACCTGTATTATGCACGTATTAGATGCAAAGTAAAACGTACGTACACAAATTTTGCACTCAAAATAAAAGCAATCTACAGAAAAGATAATTATTTGAAAATGTTATGTTTTATAAATCGAAATAATTCCTTCAAAGATGTTTCTTTATCCATTTTAATATATGAGAGATAATCAAATAGTTGGCAAATATATTGACAAAGTGAAATGAATGAATATTATGCCATTTAAAGTTATTTAAATCGCGTCTTGTGATTGGTTAAAATTGGACCAATCATAAGATAGCTTATTGTAAACGCTTCTTTCAACACGTAACCTAGACGTTCTCTGTAAACGCGATTTCTACGGATGACTTCGCCGTTTCTCGTCGTGTTATTAGGGTTGCGATTGTAAAATGGTAAGTTGTCAAAATGATGTCATATAGCGTAGAAAAAATATCAATTTATAATTAGAATATAATGTAAATAAAAAATATCTTTTCTGCGTACATATATTTATATAGAAATATTGTAACTTTTGCATAAAAGTGTATATATATATATATATATATATGTATGACATAAAAGAAATGGTTAGAGGTTAATTTATGGATTGATAATACAAATAAAAACTTATTAAAGTATATACAAACGAATGAAAAGTGTAAAAGGAAACAAATAATTTAAATAATTAACAACAACAGCAACAACAATAATAATAATAATAATAATAATATGTTTTCTATAGGGACAAAATCAATCTGGTAGTGGAGGTACAGGCGGAGACAAAAAAGATGACAAGGATAAGAAGAAGAAATATGAACCACCTATACCTACGAGGGTAGGAAAAAAGAAAAGACGTACTAAAGGACCAGATGCAGCTTTAAAATTGCCACAAGTAACGCCTCATACGCGTTGTAGATTGAAACTTTTAAAGCTTGAACGTATAAAAGATTATTTACTTATGGAAGAGGAGTTTATTAGAAATCAAGAACGTTTAAAGCCGCAGGAAGAAAAAAACGAAGAAGAAAGATCTAAGGTAGATGATCTCCGTGGAACGCCAATGTCTGTTGGAACATTAGAAGAAATCATAGATGACAATCATGCAATAGTTTCTACATCTGTTGGATCGGAACACTACGTATCAATTTTATCATTCGTCGATAAAGATCAATTAGAACCGGGTTGTTCTGTATTATTGAATCACAAAGTTCATGCTGTAGTAGGAGTGTTAGGTGATGACACAGATCCCATGGTTACAGTAATGAAATTAGAAAAAGCACCGCAAGAAACGTACGCAGATATTGGAGGGCTTGATACTCAAATTCAAGAAATCAAAGAATCCGTAGAATTACCATTAACTCATCCAGAATATTATGAAGAGATGGGTATTAAACCGCCCAAAGGAGTTATACTTTATGGACCACCTGGAACGGGTAAAACGCTTCTGGCAAAGGCTGTAGCCAATCAAACATCAGCAACTTTCCTTAGAGTCGTTGGTTCTGAACTGATACAAAAATATTTAGGCGACGGTCCTAAACTTGTCAGAGAATTGTTTAGAGTCGCGGAGGAGCATGCTCCTTCTATAGTTTTTATAGATGAAATTGATGCGGTAGGAACTAAAAGATATGACAGTAATAGCGGCGGAGAAAGAGAAATTCAGAGAACTATGTTAGAACTGTTAAATCAACTTGATGGTAATCATTATATTATAATGTCAATAATGATTATTTACTCTCGCAAGATTTCTGTAAACTCTCGTTCACATTTCATTTATATAAATAATATATTCTTTTGATATTTTCATGAAGGTTTTGACAGCAGAGGAGATGTCAAAGTCGTTATGGCTACCAATAGAATAGAGACGTTAGATCCTGCATTGATAAGACCTGGACGTATTGATAGAAAAATAGAATTTCCATTACCAGATGAAAAAACTAAAAAAAGGATTTTCAGTATTCATACTAGTAGAATGACCTTAGCACCAGACGTGAATCTAGCTGAATTAATTATGGCAAAGGATGATTTATCTGGCGCTGATATAAAGGTACAACCCACATTTTTCAATACATTTATCGTCAATCTATTGATTCACTTATCGTATCACACTATCGTAATCTATTTATTGTTTTCAGGCTATATGTACTGAAGCTGGTTTAATGGCATTACGTGAACGCCGTATGAAAGTTACGAGCGATGATTTCAAAAAATCTAAGGAAAGTGTTTTATATCGTAAAAAGGAAGGATCACCTGAAGGATTATACTTATAAAGAAGACATTATTTATGTATCTTATTCTTTATTTACTGCTAATATAAAAACGTCATTCGTGTCAATACAAACTTATTAACGAAAAATATCCTGCAGCGCTTATTCATACATTTTTTTTTTTAATAACATATATACACATATCATTATGTATCCAAAGCTGAACCATGAATATCAATATTATTTTTTATCAAGACAGATTCAAGATTTTGATTTAATATTTCAATAACCTTCTTAGAATGTGTTTTTTGCTTTTCTACAATATCCACAAATAGATCATCTTCTATCTGTCCATCAACATTTTTACTTAAAGATTCTTCATTACATATATAACATATGCCTTTCTTAGTTTCACTTAGTATAGTTTTTACAACCGAGGGTAGTTGAAGATTTTCTTCTATAGAACTAGTTAGACCTTTATATTTTCCTAACTTAAATGCGTTATTAAAAGCATCTTTATAACCCATGTCAAATCCTTCTTGAAACACCGATTCTTGTCCATCTTCTATGCCTTCTTTGTAACCTATCTAAAAAAAAAAAAAATAAACAGTTTAAAACAGTTTACCATAAAATTGTTGAATTAAACTAAATATAATAAAACTAGGACAATAAAATAAAAGGAGTATAATTTATAGGTTACAGTAGAAGCAGCTGCGACTAATCGATCCCAGTTCTTATAACCTATAAAGAGATCTTCGTCTTCCAATGTTTGTTTGTTTGAAGAATCAATAGTAGTATTGAAAGAATTTTCCATATTGTATAATATATATTGTCGAATAATTAAATTAATATTTGAAAACAAGTGTTATAACACGTTATAACACGTTATAACACTTTATACGTTTTATACGTATTATAGGTGTAGACTGTTTGTTGGTGAGAAAGGATTAACTGTTTGAAAGTATTTCACTGTTTTAGCAAACCTTACAAATATAATGAATAAAAATCAAATGGAAAGTGAAACAAGTACTTCAGAAGAACGAGGAAAGGATAAAGATAATGATCCCAAAGACCTTGATATGATAGAGAAAAAGTAAATACATCAATGCATTATTTTATTTATTAGGTTAAGGATGTAACATAAAGAGATTAAGATTGCATATAAATAATAGAGCATATTTGATTATTTTTGAATATTTACAGAATAATAGCCTTGGCACGACTCAAACCAAAAGGAATATCGGACAAAGATTTAATGAACGAAATGCCAAAGCTACAAGCAAACCAAAGAGCACAGACTATTAATAAACTACTTGGAAAAGGATATCTTGATTTGTACAAACACAATGGATCATTGCTTTATATGTTAAAAGATCCGTCTAAAACTAAAATTGCTAAGGGTTCTGATAACGAAGAAAAGATTGTCTACAATATAATTGAAGAGGCAGGCAATAAGGGAATATGGATTAGAGACATAAGAACTAAATCTAATCTAGTACTTATTCAATTAAATAAAATTCTGAAAAAATTGGAAAATAAAAAGTTTATTAAAGCAGTGAAATCTGTAGCAGCGAATAAAAAAAAAGTTTATATGGTCTATAACTTAGAACCAGACAGATCCATTACCGGTGGTGCATGGTATCAAGATCAAGATTTCGAAGCAGAATTTGTAGAAATTCTTAACCAACAATGTCTTAAATTTTTGGAGAAAAAAAGAGAAGATGCAAACAAATGGGATGGCGGCCCTTTAGATGCCAGAAATATAGCATTTGCCTCGTCTACAGAAGTTTTGAAATTTATTTCAGATTTAGGAATAAGCAAGGTTTTACATTTTATTTTTAATAAGTTTTATCCTATGGAAAGTATTAATGATATATATATGTATATTTGTCTTTAGGTCAAATTAACGGTTGCGGATTTAGAAATGATTTTAAATACTTTGATATACGATGGAAAAGTAGAAAAATCCGTGTCTACCGATGGAACTAATATGTATAGATCCATAAAACCATTATTAACCTCTTCAGGTCTATTGAAAGCTCCTTGCGGAGTTTGTCCTGTAAGTTTCATATTTTTTTGATTTTCATTCATGTTGTTTTCATGTTATTTTCATGTTGATTTAATATATGTCAATATGTTTATGCGTAATGCAGGTTATGAAGAATTGTTGCGATATAGGAGATGTTACACCTACAAAGTGTTTATACATGAAGGAGTGGTTGGAGTTTTGAAGATATGTACATTTCTAATCGATTATTAAATAAAAGAAAAAAAACAAAAACAAACATTTTAATTTTCTTATAAAACCATTCGTCATACGCCACGTGTTATTCGTAAATACTTAACAAATCGTTAATAATTAATTATTAACCAATTACAATTGAGTATTTAGATTCTCATCGTTTATTGTTATTGTTATTTCAAATGTATATACTATATAAAATTGTTATTTTTCTAGTTAAAGTTAACCTTTTTTGTTTTTCATGTAATAATTAAGAATATTTTTCAATTCTCTCAAGGGTGCATATATAAATAATTGAAAATTGGTTGAAAATATTTATAATAATAAAGTACAACTGTATATTTGATTTTGATTGGATCGATTTGACATTAACGTTGTTTTAAGCATCATCCAATCAGCATTCAGTGGAACTAAATTTCAGTTACGTTCAGATTTTTTATCTCAAAATCAATTTCACACGTTATACATTTAGTCAGTATATAATTGTTGAATTATTAGACAAAAGTCTAAAGAGCTTTGTAATATTAAATAGAATATAATTAGTTTCTAGTGTGTGTGTGTGTGCGTGCGTACGTGCGTGCGTGCGTGCGTTTTATATACTTAGTATATTTAAGTGTTTAATATTAACAATATTCACTTACTATTTCAATTATTAATTATAAAAAGAAGAAGATCAATCATTTGAATTTGCATAAACTAAAATGAAGAATATATTAATCATAGCTGTTACTTTGCAGCTATGCATTTTTGTCAAATCGACAGATATAGATGCAAAGTATCTTAAATGTTTAGGTAAATTTGTATATACTTTATGTTAAATTATTAATAAATTTGAAATTTCATAGATGTTAATAAATTGATATATATATATTTATATATACCACAGTCTGTAGGGCTACTATGGATGAACTGAAAAAAGAAGTAGATAAGATTAACCCTTTACTAAAAATAAATGTTGGAGATTTTAGAATGGATGCTGAAGGAAATAGTAACAGAAAATCAGTAAGTTTTTCTTCGAATAACCGCTTGAAACGTATACCTAAAATCCTAATAAGGTATTATTATTATTATAATTATTATTATTATTATTATTTCAAGGTATCCAAGGTACGTTCTGAAATTTTCATTATGGATATGTTAGATGATGTTTGTGGTAAAATGTCAGATTATGTGAAGGCAACAAATAAATCAGATGGTCGATTGATAATCTTAAATCTTATGGATACGTCTGGTTACATGAATCCCAAGATAACTGAAGTCGATCTAATTCAAGATGGTGAATTAAATAAGAGTTTGGTATATAACGTTAGTACATTGACTCAATCATTAATTCATTTCTAATATAGTAACTTTACTATTAAATAAATATTATTTGATTTTTATTTCAGTGTGAATCTATAGTAGAGGAATTCGAAATCGACATTGTTAATCTATTTAGTATGGGAAAAACTGACATTAAGAGAACATTATGTACAGATATTGCAGAACTTTGTAACGAGCAAGATTTCGCTAAGGAAGATAAAGAGGACGAAATGAGTGAAAAAGATGAAGAGTACGAAATGATTGAAAAAGATGAAGAGTACGAAATGAGTGAAAAAGATGAAGAGGACGACGAAATGAGTGAAAAATATGAAGAGAAGAAGAAAATGAGTGAAAAAGATGAAGAGAAGAAGAAAATGAGTGAAAAAGATGAAGAGGACGACGAAATGAATGAAAAACATGAAGAGAAGAAAATGAATGAAAAACATGAAGAGAAGAAAATGAGTGAAAAAGATGAATTGTAATTTCTAAGTAATATTCTACTAAATTATACGAATGTATTATTTATGTAAATGTATGTGTGCCCATATACGTATATATATATATATAAAAAGACGTTATTTTTTGTATGTTTATAATTCTACCGTTGAGATGCCTTTTATAATATACATTTGTAAACAATAAATAAATAAATATATGATTTGAGCAAATGAATTTTGAAGTGTTTCGAAAATGTTGCTACCAGAGGCGCTGCCAACGTTCCTACTATTAACAATATATAAGATGTAGTTGACACTCTTAGTTTGTGGTTAATGGTGTTCATACCCAACTTCCCGTGCGTGCTTATATCGTCTTCGTTCGCCGCCATTATTACGAAGTCGTTAGAGGTTGGTATTCATTCATTTTTGAGTGATCTTGTGAATTAATTGATTAATTATTACAAATGAAGATGGTAGACAAAATAGAAATGAGTCTCGACGATATTATCAAACAAAATAAAGGAACGCGAGCGCGAGGAGGGGGTGGTAGAAGAGGTAGAGGTGTTGGTGGTTCGCCTCGTAGAGGAGCTCGAAGAACCCAAAGAGTTGGCGGTGGCGGCGGCGGCGGCAGCGTCATGCGAGGACGCAGTCGTGGTGGCATCACAAGAACTTCTCTTCCATACACAAGAGTAAGTAATTACACTGTTTTTATATATTATTGCCATTGAAGCGTAATTCATTATGCGTGTATATATAGAAATATATATATATATATATACACACTCGTATACATATATATATATATATATATATATATATATATACATATGTATATGCATAGCATATATGATCTATATATACATATATATAGCATATATATAGCAAGCTTTTATAGCTTGTCACATGCTTTTCGTTCGTGGACATATTTTCTTCTACTTCCGCTTTTGTAAACTAGATTTATTTATGCTACTTATGTATGTATTCTTATTAGAAATTGTTTAGAGAAATAAATTCATTGCAAGATTCAGATTAATGATAATTAATAAAAAAATGTATGTTTCTTTTGACCTCTCTTTGCATTCTCTGTTTACGTCCTTTTCAACATTTGTTTACATTCACATAAACACATTGGATCCTATAATATATCTATTTTCTTGATAATAGTTATCCATAGTTAAATGTCTAATTAATAAAATGCTTGATTTGTCAACAGGGTGACGTAAATAGTGCATGGAAACATGACATGTTTGATGGAGTAAAAAAGGTTGGCAGAGGTGCAATAGGCAGCACAGGTGTTACTAAATTACTCGTATCTAATCTTGATTTTGGGGTATCGGATTCGGATATTCAGGTAATATATATGCATATACATTATTACTACTATTACACTAATGTGTAGAAATGAATAGTTATGAATGTTTATTATTAGGAATTGTTCAGTGAATTTGGACCTCTCAAATCAGCAGCTGTACATTATGATAGATCAGGTCGATCATTAGGCTCAGCTGATGTTATATTTGAAAGAAGAGCGGATGCTATCAAAGCAATGAAACAATATAATGGAGTACCACTCGATGGTATGTAATTTCCTGTAGAGGATTATTTAATTAGTTTGATAATTGTTCAGATTAAATGTCAATCAATCTTTTATATGAAACTATAGGTCGTGAGATGAACATACAAGTTGCCACATCTGAAATACCAGTTCCATCGGTACGTGGTGGTTCAAGACTTAGTGGTAACAGTTACGTGCAAAGAACTCAATCTCGTTTTAGAGGTAATCGTGGTTCAGGACCTGTAAGAGGTAATTTATTAATATCTTTGCTATCTGTTGTATATTGATTCTGTCCAAAGGTTTTTCTTGTTTTTGTTGTTGTTGTTTTGTTGTTTTTTTTTTTTGATAAATTATATTAAAATCGTAGGTCGTGGTGCAAGACGCGGAGGTAGAGGAGGAAGTCGACAAGCAACCAAAACTCCTACCGCTGCAGAATTAGATGCAGAACTGGAAGCTTACGTTAAAGAAGTAAAGTAACAAAACCATAAGTCCTTGGCAACACGATAAAGTTTTGTTCTCGTCTAATCTAACACAATAAATTGTGTTTTCCTTATTTTCATAAGATATATACAAATGAAACTAAGTGTAATTATACCATTAGAAAAGGAAGCGTTATATGCAATTTCATTTTGAATGGGTGTTTTTTTTTTATTTTTGACATTTCCTTCGGAAATTGGCATACAATTTTTAGAGGGATTCAAAACATGATTTATAGAAGTTAATAGATTTTTTTATGACTCATTAAAAGGAGGAAGGAAGAAAGGAGGGGGAAGGAGGAGGGAAGGAGGAAAGAAAGAAAAAAAAGAAAAAGAACAAAAAAAAAAAGTAATGATATGCTGTAAAGACTGTATGCAATTTGTATGTACTATTACCGCGCGTGTGTGCTCAGTATATTGATAAATACAAACAAATTCATCTTTAACAGTTGTTGTTTATCAAAGTACGGAATGTGCTTCTAGCCCCGAATCTGATTAATTTTAAAGCATTGTCATCTTGATCTTAGCGAATCCATTACTATTTTGTGAGATATTTTTCAATTATGAAAATAATAATGTTTGTTATTGATATTATATTTTTGTAATGTTTCACATATCGCTCTCAATCATTGATATATACGTGTATATATACGTATGTATATATATATATATATATATATATATATATATATATATATATATACATATCCATACACATATATGCCACTACTATACGTAGATGATATCTGATAGCAGAGTAATAAGACTGTGATATGCGTTAACTAGTCAGAGATCATATTGACATTATGATTATTTAACCTATGGCAGTATTAGGCATGTAATATAATGTATTACGAGAGAGAGAGAGAGAGAGAGGGAGAGAGGGAGACTTTATATTGACACAGCAAAGGAACCGCAATGCAGAGCTATGCAAGACTGAAGAAAAGAAAGTGACGATTAGTTACTAAATAAAAAAGAAATAATATTTTCTCATAATTTGATTCTTCTCGCTTACCTAAAATAATATAATCCTTGTAAATAATACAACATCATCCTTTTAGTGTCTCTTCTTTCATGTACATATATACCCTTTTGTTATTATTGATATTTTGAATATATAATGATAAAGATTGAAAAATAAGAGAAGAAGAAAGATGGATGCTTTATTTCCTGTGTGTACGGAGAATAATTTATTTTATTTAAATAATCACACGATTTGTCATTCTGTACATATGTAAAAATATTTACTAGTAGAGGCCACAGAGCCACGGACCTAACGACTGTTAAACTCAGTCCACGATTGCAGAGATCACTACAGAATTGTACTTGCTTTTTCATATAATTTAGGAAGTCATCGCGCACTGACTCTATAAATTAATTCAATTCTCTAAATGCTTAATAATAAGATCAGTCGAGTTTAGATAATAAATTTGTTTACTATGCAATAATAATAATTGTGTACAATACGAGGCATCTTTAACACACCAGTGTTTTTAAATTATATAAAAAAAAAAAAAAAAAAGAAAAAGACAAAGGGGAAAACCAGTTTTGTCTTATAATCTTTTAAGCGTTCTTTTTTTATCTTTCAACATCTTTTTCTTTTCCGCTGTTAGTTTTTTATCACCTGCGTGCTTCTTTGGCAGGGGTCCTCCAACTTCGGAGGAAGCACAGCTTTCCAGACCTGCTTTACTGCCTTTACCGCCTCCCTACAAAAATATTCATATGTAAATATGAATTATTTACAATTTGACGATTAATTAATAATCTATATGATGTAGCTGTTAACAATTTCAAAAGTATACTTTACCTGTGCATGTATTTCTGTCATCATTTTTGCTCTTTCGGAATAATCATCATACCTTTCTAATAATAATTTACCAGCCTCTTCATTTAATGCAGATTCGGCATTTGGCACTATCAATAAACATTTTACTGTCTATAAAAATAAATTCATTCAAATAGATTACTACTATTATCATTTATGTACAATTATAATGTAGACCAATGTTAATGTTACCAATAATATATGTTGGATTCCGAGGTCTGATTTCCAATCCTTTTTCAACGTATTAACACATATTTCTCCATTTTTCGCGACATTAGGATGAAATATTTTTGTAAGAAAAAATGCTTTAGGTGGTCCTTGTGGAAAGTCTTTACCGAGAGCTAATTTTACTCGAAAATATCCGCCAGCATAGGGTGTTCCAGCTAGAACATATTAAATCAATTAGTAAATATACAAATGTGAGATGAAAACAAGGTTATGGTCAGAGAAGGAAGTTCATTTATTTCTTTTGTTGTTGTTGTTGTTGTTGTTGTTGTTGTTAAATCTATATTATAGGATTGATTGTAAGAATATAATAAAATGTGAAAAACTCACAAGGACCCTCGATGATAGCCTGAATGTCTGTGACATCATCCTCGTTCAAAATAACGCGTATGCCCTCGGGTGGTTGAGTCGTTAGCTCGGTCATTTCTTTTGCCACACGTCGTATTATTTGTGGCGAAAGATTTTCAACATTTGATATCTATTCGATGAGAAGAAAGATAATAAATAGATGAAATGTGTGATATGCAAATAATGAGAAAAAAGAAAGGGCCATTTTAGACCATTTTAGACCATTTTATGTGTTTTTCGCGGCATCAAGTGTTATTGTTAAGGATATATAATAGGGTAGATAGGATCCAGAAGGTAAACAAAAGCTCTGCCAGAGTATAGAAAAATATTTGATGAAGGAAAAATAATGGTATACTCACTGAACTCACAGCGGCCATATTTTGCTGTTAATTATTTATTTATTATTTATTCCTATTAATTGTCGATTAAAACGCCTTTTAGTCGCACTTATATTTCAGATAGAGAACAGAGAAATATCTTTAACGTCACAGCACCAGCAGCGAGGGATCGCCTGCAACAATCAACATTTTGAACTGCCAGCCAATCGCGTGCGAGCGTTTCCGCTTACCACGCACAACCCACAATCTCGAAAGCAAAAGTCGATTCTCTCGGAACGCTTTCGTCTTTTATCGCCAAGTAAAAAAAGCTTCATTTTTAATCCACTACAAATGAATCATTATTAATTATTTATTCGATCATTTTTCCCTTATATACAAATTATTATTAATAAGCAAAAAAAAAGAAAAAAACAACAACAACACACACAACGATTCAACTAAATCTATAAAAGAGGAATATAATCTTATTGAAGCCGGTATGTAATAAACCTTTTTTTCATCCTTATTTATACGCTTCTCTTTTCCTAGTGTCGTTGATTAGACAAATGTTGTTTTTTTAAATCTCTTTTAGATCTCTCGAAATACCACCAGCGGGTGCTTAGCGTTTCGTCGTCACCACCTCCTTCTCCTCCCCTTGGCAACGTATCTCCCGGTGGCGCATATTACAGACTTTTTTCAACTTGAAAACTAAATTTAAATAACTATTTTTTCTCTTTCCCTCTCTCTCTCTCTCTTTCCCCTCTTGCATATTCTTTCTTGGACACGATGCCAGACAACGCAAGTTCTGAAAAGGTAATGCTTTCTCTCTCTCTCTCTCTCTCTCTCTCTCTCTCTCAGTTTGCATACACTTGTTTATTATATTTTGACTATGCTCTTTGTTCTAGAAGAGAGGTAGCTTGCATGCAAAGGATCTAGTTGAATGTTCGCTATGATGATCTTTATCTTTATCTTTATGTTCTTTTTGTTCCGTACTAATCGGTTTATATTTTGTTTTTAGGAGAAACATATGAAGCAGTTAAAAAGGAAAATGGAATGTTGGCGTGAAGTTGTTCTCCCATTAAACTCTATTTTGTTGTGGGAGAGACCGTGGTATCCTGCATTGATTCTTGGCCTTACTACAACTGTATTTTGGTGAGTTTATTGTGTTATTTTGTCTGTTTCTTGTTAATTATCTTCTTTTTATCGTTGTTTAATATTATTTATGATTTTAGTATGATTTGGATGTTGGAACCAGCATTGCTCACGTTAATATCTCTTTCCTTGCTGGTCTTAGCACTTGTCGATTACTTTGTTCCAACTATTATTTCGATTTTTTGTACGGCTGATAGTTGGACAGGACAAAAAGAAAAGAAATTAAATGAAATATGTCATAATCTTTCTGAGGCGATACTTCAGTTGCAAAGTTTATGGACATCCGTGGTTACTATGCGCAACAGCCGTCCTAACTTTGTAAGTTCTTATCAATAATTATATCTATTAGGTCGAAGAGTCATAAGTAACTTCTTTCTCCATGTCTATCTATCTATGTAGAATCTATTTTTCGTATTTACCTACTATAAGTCACCGAAACAAACTGATTTTCGATATCACTGTATAGAGTGATGAGTATGAGGATTCAGTTAGTCTTCTATGTTACATTTAACCGTTTTTCTTAACCACTCAAATGGATAATTGAAACAAGGCAATAGCACTAAGGTGCCAACTGAAATAATATACAGTGTATACAGTGCAGGACTGATAATCACTGATAGGGCAGTTAGAAATTGATTTGTAAAATTCCATTCTCAAGATACGATCTTAAAAGATGAACCGAGTGCAGCGACGTATTTCCGACTTTGATAAACCTTTTAAACGTAATATTGGAGCAAAATCCAATAGATACGTTGAACAATTGCAAAGAGTGCAAAAAAAAACCTGCATGAAAAGTGTCTTTGCCATTCTTTGTCTCATCAAAAACGAACAGTTATTTATGACTCGACCTAATATAAATATGTATAAATAATGTGAGGATAAGTAGATGTAATATATTTTTAATTACAGTATTATGGAACGATTATGATCTTTTTGGTGCTATTTGCGTGGCTTGGAAATACAATCAATAATCTTCTTTTATCTTATATAGCGGGTAAATAGAAATATATGAAGGAATACTTGTTAATAATAATTCTTTTATATCAATTTAATACAAAATATACGTTTGTTGTGTGCAGTTAACGCTATTCTACTTACACCGGGATTCAAATACAAGGGAAGAGCGCGATCCGCTGTGAAATACATTCACAATTATTTAACTCAAGAAAAATTGTCATAAAACATTGCTCTCCGTGTATGTATTATTTATTTTTTGTCTTCATCATTCTCTTTACACGCCTCGTTTTGATGCAATTAAATTAGTGTTATTTATGATGTATATGCTATATAATGCTACATCTCAATGGTTCGTATACATTTAAATAATGTGTATTACTTTTTAAAGGAGAAATCAAAACTTTCTGCTTTATAAAATATTATATAATAATGGACCCTCTCCATTTATTCATGACAATTAATGTTCAATGACTGAGATTAATCTAAGTGGAAAGTATTCATCTATATATGAATTTTATATTATTTTATCTTATTTTATTTTATTTCTTCTTATTTTTTTCCTAGTTTTAACCCTTCAAGAGTACACACTTGGTAAAAGTTAGTTAAAGTGCACTGTGGGTGGGTGGGTGTTTGACACCCGTCTCCTGAAGCCGCTATTTAATATTCATTTTAGACCTCGCAATTTTTTTCAAACTAGTTTGATACATCTTTTTTAAAAGATAGAATAGTTATAGTTAGTGATCTGAATTAACACTAGATGGCACTAGACAAATAACCCATTTTTTTGAATTCAGTACCGTTTTTGAGAGATCCAAAATTTGTTGGGGTGTCAAACGCCCCATGTGCACTTTAAAGGTTAATACAATATTCTATTGCTATCTGTTTAAAACACTCTTTGTCTTAAATAACATATGTAGATGAATATTTATATTATAATTATTATTATTGTATGTTTTTTTTTTTTTTTTAATGCTAGCTTAACAGTTTCATATTAAATTAAGTCTTATTATTATTATTATTGTCGATGTATTTTCATACTTATTTACCTAAAATAATTTGTTCGAGTAGAATTATTTCTTTGCAATTAAATTTTTACATTCATAATCGTGCCCTTATTATAGATATTTATTATTATGACGTTAAAAGACTTAAAGTTTTATTAATTATACACATATGTATATTTAATAAAAAAAACTTTGATATTTTATTTCAACGTCCAATATTAAACTAAGAGACATAATTTGTGTATAAAAAATATTTTATTTCTATTCAAGACTTAACTGTTTTCTGGATAATTGAACATATTCACATTATCATGAATTATATTGAAATTTGACTTAATAATAAAAAGAAAATACTCATCAATTTCTATATAAATAATATGCTTTTAATGGTAGATTTCATTTATATTATTTTTTTGGTCACTACTATGTTTATACGTGTTTATACATACACGACGTTCTCATAAACACATCTATATATAGTATATATATATATCGGCTTCTTTCGGTTATCCGACACACCCACACGTAACATTTCGTTGTGTGCGAGGCGTGCTGAGCTTGAGAGAAGGGGTAGAAATGTTCTACGATCTGACTTCACTACTGTATATACATCATTCGATGTTTACAAAGATGGCGCTAATCATATAAAATCAAAGTTTGCTTGCTTGCGTGCGTGTGCGTGTGCGCGTGCATGTGTGCGTGCATTTAAGTGTGTTTATAGGTTCGCCGTGTAATGTTGTTTTTTTCATGTGTACATTGATCCTCGATAGAAATTTTATGTAAGGAAAATTTGAATGTCATGAAAAAATTGTAATTAGGTACGCCGATGACGTTGTTGATTTTCTTCAAAGTATTTATGTCGATGCGTATAATAAGAAAAGTTTGGCGGCGAATTCTTTGATATTAGATTATTGTTTAAAAGTTCATAGAGATATATCTTATTATAATTCTTTACTCATACATATTGTTAGTAAAATTAAAAAAAACAAAAATGGATATAATTATAAAATTAAATGAACAAACAGCAGGTAGAGATAAAATTATCAGGTAAGTTAAATGTTATTATTTATATTTGTTTGTGAGTAAAATAAATAGAGAGATATGAGATATTGATTATATTATTAAACAAATGTAATAATTATATTATTGTAGATTGCTGCAATATGGAAGTAGAGCTTATTGGTATTACGCGCAAAATATAAACAGTACAAGACAGTCTTCTGATGTTCTACGCAGCTTGGAATATACTTTTAGTTCTTTCAGAAAATGTATTATTTACATTTGTACAAAATCTGTTAAAAAACATCTGTCCTGATGACCTTTATTGACCTTTATTGACCTTTTGTTTTATTTTACAGTACTTCGTCTTGGAAGATGTTTGGATAGCTTTTATTTGGCTTTGTCATCAATGAGATATCCAGATTTAATAGTAAGAGTCACTTTGACTTTATCCAAAATTGCTAATGCCTTGTTCCTTTTAGCGGATCATATTATTTGGTTAGGTCGTGTAGGAATTTGCCGCGTTGACATAGAAAAGTGGAGTAAAGTTGCTAATAAATATTGGTTAATGAATATTATATTAAATTTAACGAGAGATGTTTATGAAATTGTTAAATTATACGAACAAGAACAATTCCATTCGTGTAAAAAAATTTCAACGACATTTCAATGTAAATCGATTGATAAATACAACATTGCATTGTCATGTTTGAAAGATCACAAAGACATTGTTATGGATACACTTAAAAATGGATGCGATCTATTTATCCCATTGACAGCATTAGGCTACACCAAGTTAACACCTGGAATTGTAGGCATCTGTGGATTGGTCTCTTCTATGCTAGGACTTTATATATTAGTACATCCTTTGTATAAATTAAAGCCATCATAACCATACATGTATATTAATATATAAAAAATGCCAATGCATTTAATGTAAGTTGTAAAATGTATCATAGTTATATTATTTTTCATGATTTTATTGAGCAATTTTTATGAAATAATTCACGAGACTATTTTAACAGTTAATTTAATAATCGATACACATTCAGTACAAAATATTATTTATAGAACTTTTATCTAAGGATCACAGAATAGAATTCAAATAAAACAAACCAAAAAGTAATTATTAAAGATTTATTTACCAATAATATATTGTTGTTTTGTATATATATATTCTCTTGATTAGAAAAATATGAATATTTAAACAAAGTATAAAATTCTTCAATAAGATCTGTTCCTTCCTAATTATTGGAGTAAAACATTTTTGATTAGAAAAATATGAATATTTAAACAAAGTATACAATTCTTTAAGCAGTACTTTCGTTGAGAATAGGATCTGTTCCTTCTTGAAGAAATAATTCATATTTATTGGAGTAAAACATTAAAAACATACCCCATGTTCCACAAATGAAAGCCCATACTGCAGTAATAGCAGTACTTTGAGAAATTGGTAATAAAGCTACAATATAAATGACATTTTTGAAGAAAACATTTAATAATAGTAATAATAATAATAATAATAATAATAATAATAATATTTGTAGACAGGGCTTTTAAAATGTACAATTTACTTACGGATTGATTGATAAAATGTAAGAAAGAGATACCAAATCCATGCAGTTATACCAGATACTGCACTAATAAATCCTACAACATTTAAATGGCGTAATGTAACTCTCGTATGCCATCTGTCCAAACCTTCTCTGTCCTTTACCCAATTCAAATGGAAACAAATACTGGCAAGTATGCCTAAGAATGACATGAAACTCTTTATATAAAAGTTATTAGTATACTATTTGTAGGGATACAAATGGAAAACTAACCTGATAAAATCGACCAAAATCCAACTTCATGATTTCCATAACCAATGGATAGTACAAAAAATGCAATTATACCAAGGATGATTCCCTTGGCACTCAAGATAAGATGTATCGAAACATTTCGTGTCATGTTTTGTTTTGTAGGGAGAAATGGTTGTGTAATATACCGGGTCAATTTAATGTAGCAGACGGTGCGAGTTCGTTCAGTTGCATACTTTCTTTATTCAACAACACATACAAACGCAGTTCTATTTGCATCATGCACACATGTATTATTAAATCCAACGATGCAAATGATTTATTGCATTTGAAATATTTGGTGTATTCAATGTATTCATAGGTGTACGCATAAGAATTGTTTCTATTTACATTCAAAACTAGAATAAAGTGTTAATTAATATTTAACCTAAGATGTTTAGGGGAGATGGTTGATATTTTGAAAAAAAAAAAAGAAAAGTTCTATTCATTTAGTACAGTGTTAAATTATATGTATGTACTTACAATAGGTTAAGAGATGATAATCTCTTCTATAATAGACATTTACATATATGTATATTTTTTGATTTCATGTTGTTTATAACTTTCATATATAATCATTTTGTTCTTTATTAAGCAATTTGGAAAACATATTTCAATCAGTTAGTTTATTTTGTAGGTTAGTTTAAAAGATTTATTATGATATTATTTATTATTACATAAATTAATTCATAATTATTCCCTAATTATATTTCTATATTCACAATAAATAATAGAATTATAAAGAATAATTAAGATAAAATAAAGTGTAGTGTGAAATAAGTTTTGATTTCTTTGTGATACAGATTATTAATAAATTGTGTACACACATGAATATATATATATATATATAGAGAGAGAGAGAATGAATTGCAAATAATTGAAAATAAATTGCCGATGAAGGTAACAAGCAATAATTATTGATAATTATTAAAATTGATATTGCTTGCGTTGTAGATTTGAATATATTTGTAACTTTAAACGCAAGTACTGTCAAGTCAAATACATGCCATTTCATCAAATTTCATAGATTTCATATGTTTCTCTTTTTTTGATTAATTGATAAAAGATTACTATTGAAGTCTGCAATCTCCAAATCTATTTCTCGAAGATGGTAATGGATCTAAATATTGTTGAAGATTTCTCATATTGCATAGTCCCATTTTACTGATATTATCTTCGTATTCCGTTTTACCAGTAAACGGTTCCTTCCAAAGAGTAAAGATTTCTGGAACTATATGTATATATATATGTATATATACTATGTACTACTGTAATAAATATGTTTGTTTTACCTGCCAATAGGTTGATAGTTTTAGCAGGTTCAATGGTCGGTCTTTCGATAGCTGAATATCTAAATCTAGTTGGATCTCTGTAAGCATTTTTTAGATCGGTTACTGCTGGTTTGATGGGAGCACCGATAGGAGAATCAACAGCTGCCATAAGTATTCTGTAATGAATTATAGGTAATCCTGAAAAAAACGAAACTTTCATTTAATTTTCATTTTATATGTGTTATATATAGTTAAACTATACTTATTTGTAATTGACCTCGTTTTTGATAATCAATTTCATAAAGACTTTTCATTGTTTCATTATCGCTTTCACAGCTACTGTCCAACAAAGTCGTAGTAAGATTTGCCATTTCATGGTTAACAGCAATCAATTCATCTTGAAGTTTTCGTTCTTTATTTGCTAATTGCATGTATCTTGAAAGATTTAGGAAAAAGAAATTAAATCGAATTAGATGTATAAATGAAGATTTTGTTCACTTAAAAAGAGAAACTGAACAAACTGTTGTTGTTATACCTGTTTTTGTCAGTTTGGAAACCACGATTGTCGCATTTGGAATCCCCTTCTTTGGATCTTTGAAGATATAATCTAGTACCAGTATTTATAGGAGGTTGTGCTGGTTTAGCAAGAAGTGGTTTAGGATTAGGCCATGCGAAATCTTTCTGAGTAATTGTTGTAAAAGTATCCATGATCGTATTCGTATTATATTTCACGAGAAGAATTTCATTTCATTTTCATTAGGAAAAATTAGGACAAAAATTCGTACAGAGAATTTTGGAGCCGAAAATTTGTTGAATTTTTCTATGACAATGATCTGTCAATAGTGTACAATTTTTCCAATTGATCAGAGCGCATGATTTTGTGTGTGTGTGAGTGTGTGAAGTTGTCGGATTTGTAATTTTATGAAAGAGTAGGCTGAAAGTATATAGATGTAATTTTGCATTTATTGATTCGTTAGAATTTAGTGTAATGTGTTAGGAATAATATAAAATTCAATTTAAGAAGGATAACATTTATCCTATGTATGTGAGGTCAATTTTATTTGAATAGATTTATTGATTGTTAGACTTTATTTATTTCTATAACAATTAATAGGGATATTGTATAAAATAATTTGACAATATAATGTGACAAGGTAAATGAAAATATATTAACTCTTTGGGGCACGGTGGGACATTTTTAGTCCCACCTCGAAATATTATTGCAATAGCTACACATGCTCATAACTTTATATTTCGTCTTATTTACCCTAAGCAATTGGTTATTAATGTTTTTACATTATGTATAATACCTTTATTAATAAAAGATATACCAATTTAGTTTCATTGAAAACGTAATCAAATTTCTCTATGCAACATAGGGCTGGCTATTTTATTATTTGAAATTCTATGCCGCAAAGAGAGAGAGAGAGAGAGAGTTAATAGAAGTTGTTAACGTGTTAAATAGAAGTTGTCGACGTGTCGCTGCATTTACGTAAAGCTCGGACATCCCCTGGATTACGATAATCGTGTTCTCTTCCAATTTCACGATCAACAACATCAATAGGATTAAATCCATAGTTTCTGGAGTCTATTTCAACGCGTTTCTTCTTATTGTTAGATTTAAATGAGTATTGTTCGGAATTGTTTGTTTCTAATGGCGAAGAAAGATATTCTTGAGGATTGGAGGACGTTAACTTTAAAAGTACCTGATCCTGCGACTGATTGCAAGTCTTCTTTTGAACTCGACCTGTCGTCGTGGTGAAAATAGGTCTTGTCGTTTCTTGAATGCATCCGCAATCCAGACGGGTGATCGTCGTCATCGTGCCACACGGTTCCAGACTCTAAAATTAAACGCGGAATTTCTAAGGGAACTCTATTGGAGGGATAACTCTTTTAGCTACTTTAGCTACAAATTAATATCATTATACATATTTCTTTCTCCTATGATATTTTTTTAATTTTTTATATCAAATTCAAATAAAATATGTTTATGTTATTTCAAGAAAGAAAGAAAAGAAATGTAATTTTTCATCGGTTCAATTAAACAAACAAAATAAATGATCGATGATGATTGATTTACTTTTAAATCATCCTTTAATCGATCACCTAAATATGGCTGAAGAAAATTTGACCTTTGTATTCTATTGTTGTTATTATTATTATTAAAATAATTATATTTCAATGGTGACAATTCAGTTCTTGGATTTGGATGACAGTAATCGCCAATTAGTAGTTTCCTTATTTCGTGAGAATAATATTTTTCTGTTAGGTCTCTTTTCCTTTGTAATTCTTTAAGTCTTTGTAATTTTTGCATAGCTAGCATTGCTTGTGTAACATTTAGGTTTGGGTAATCGCAAATATAACCATAATTACGTCCAAGGAGTGCATCGTTTTTTTGCTTGATAGGTACATTCTTTATATCTGGGTTAATCAAGTAATCATCGACCTATAAATAACGTCAAACTTTCATTTCACATTTTTTTACTTATATCACAAATTTTCATATATATTTTTATATATACATAGTAGGTTGGAACTTAAATAATGGCAACTATTTATTCACAACCGATACAAAAGAGTTAGTGCCTGTTTGCACCTGTTACTTGTTTGTTACTGTTGTACTGTTTGTCCTATACTGTTAGCACTCTGTTGATGGTGCGAATGGAGCGATGCACTTGGAGCGCATCTGATGAGCGCACTGGATGAGACATGGCAGTAGACCGCTCCTCCATTCGCACCATCAACACTGCTAACTCTGCTGCTCTGCTAACATGTAACTCTTTTGTATCGGTTGTGAATAAATTAGTTGCCATTATTGAAGTTTCAACCTACGTATATATAAGAAAACTAACATTACTGTCTACTTCAATAAGAATTGTCTCTTCCGACGTTTTTTCTTCAGATCGTTTGAAATCATGTTTACTCGGAACCGTATTAGATTGATAAATATTCGACGACGCTGTAGATCTTAATGGATGAGAGGGTAAATCTTGGTTCCAGCCAGTGTCCAAGGTAGACGATGTTCTAAGCGAACCTTTTTTTAGATTTTCCTTCATTTTCGTTGACCATCTCGAATAGATAAAAAAGACAAAAAGTACGCAGCAGGCATAATATTAATGAAGAAAAATTTAAAGGGAGCCAAAAATTAGATTTACTTGTTAATTGCACTGGAACTTCGCAAACGATTAGTACTACTCATTTTAATCCAATGATTTGTAACTTTTTTTTTAAATACATGTTAATGTGTACAACAAATTTTCTATCATTAGATTATTTACATACGTAAAGTTATGTTTTCTGTCAGAAAAACATTTAGGATTGGTAGGACAAACTTCAGAATCTTTTGTATGACTTGAACATAGTTACTAATAACTATTACATATTTTTTGTATCGAACAACAGAACAGTGCGATTTTGTATCGAAACAGAAGGTGCGATTTCATGATGACGCTTGACGTTAGCTTTGGGCGTCAATGTCAAATTTGACCACATTATATAATTTCGATTGAAGTGCCATCTAGATAAGAAGTAGCGTTAAATCTGAGCGTCAAATCTGAGCGTCAAACTGCAGCGTCAAACTGCAGCGTCAAACTACAGCGTCAAGCGAATAATGTCTGCGAATTATAAATACCAACGATGGATTTATCAGTGCCATGTGCATAGTGCAATTCGACAAGCAGAAATTGATAAAATTAAACGAAGGAGAATCTTACTAGCTCTCACATATAATGAAATATATTAACAGTTGAGAAAACAAAAAGTATGCTAAAAAACGTTTTTGGATTCATCCGATATTTACGATAAATGACGATCTGAACATGGATTTTTCGAAGCAGTATTTCCCACACTTTCTTCATTTTCTGATAAGTTTCAAAATGATTTTCGAATGTCTGCAATTGAATTTGAAGAATTGTTATGCTTGGTTAGTCCGTTCATATCCAAAGAAAATATTGTTAGAGAATCAATCGGTCGGCAACAGCACGACTGGCGATGACTTTACGGTAAAATTTTCTTAAGATAAATTATTTACAAAAAATGATGATGACAAAGCTTATAAAATCATTTTTTATCAGATATTTAGCAACTGGTGATTGTTTAACTTCAATATCATACCAATATCTTGTTGGTTTTACAACAGCAACCAATATAATTACGGAGACATGCCAAGTTCTGTGGGATAGCCTCTATAAGAAGGAAGTTTTACCGTACCCTTTAGAAACGACAGACTGGTTAGAAATTTCTAAAGAGTTTGATAGGCAATGGCAATTTCCACATTGTATAGGAGCAATTGATGGAAAGCATATTCAAATACAGGTATAGAAATTAATTGAATTGACTTCAAATCTACAAGTTTAGTATGTTCAAATCAAAAAATGTAATCCAAATTTTTATTAGTGTCCTGACAATGCTGGCTCATTCATCATTTTATAATTACAAAAATCATCACAGCATTGTTTTAATGGCCATTTGTGATGCTAACTATTCCTTTACATTTGTGGATATTGATGCTTATGGTCGGCGAAGTGATAGTGGTATTTTTCGAGACTCGCAGATGGGGCAAAAATTTCAAAAAATGCAAATGAATTTGCCAAATCCTACATTTACAGTTGACTGTAGATGGAAGGTCTTTACCATACGTACTGGTAGGTGACGAAGCCTTTCAGTTAACTAACTACTTGCTTCGACCGTATCCTGGTAAGGGTGGCTTTAATCAAGAACGCAACATTTTTAATTACCGTTTAAGTCGTGCACGGAGGACTATTGAAAATAGTTTTGGTATATTAGTAAACCGATGGCGAATATTAAAAAAACCAATTCAAGCAAGTGTTCAAAATACAATCAGCACAGTACAAGCTATTATAGTTCTGCATAATTGGCTTCGTAAAAATAATAAGGATAATACCTATATTCCATCAAGCATAGATAATGAATTGGAATCTAATAATTTAACAGAAGAAATAAACAATTGAGTTTTGAAAAATGCATCAATTCCAGGAAACAATTTTACCAGTCGATCCGCGGTGATGATTCGTGACACGAGTTCTGTGATTATTTTAATGCGGAAGGAGCTGTTTTTTCCTGGCAATGCAATCGTGTTTAATCGTGTTTAATCGTGTTTTTATATTTACATTATTTATATATATATATTTTTACATACGAATTATTTATAAATGAAGATTGTAATTAATCCCTATGACGGTATTATTTTATTGTATGTAAAACGATTAAACGATTAAAAAAATATTTTTCTTTTCAACTTTATTTCTTAGCATGCTAAATACTGTCTCTCTCTCTTTATTACGAACTACATTCATGATCTTCAAGATAACGTCAAAATGTACTTCTTTAGGTAATTTTCGAATTTCATGACCAATACCTGTCATCAAATTGTCAATTATCATTGTCAATTGATAGTTGGTGGAGGAGGTAATGCAGGTGGTATAGATTCAGTGCAGATTTTATCTGCAATTCGAGTCAAAGAATTCAAAGTATCTGTCTCTTGACTTTCTCTGCTTTGTTTATGTAATTTTTTTGATGTAGAGATATCTGCCAAGTTATAATAATTTGTTTAAGAGCATGTAAATCAATAATTTCATTAACAAACGTACCCTCATCCTTCCTCAAAGAACTGTCGGTTATACTTTCACTGTCATTCATTGATGTGTTATGATGATTTCCATGATCATCTTCATCGAAGTTATCTGGCACATTGCTACTAGTTTTACAATATTTTCAAAGAATTGGAATTAAAATTTAACAAATCGAATAAAATGATAATAAGAACAGGAATGTATTAAAACAAAAAGAACACAAAAAGAACACAAAAAGTTTGTCTTTCAATAAAGTATTTAATGAAATATGTATTGCTATCGTTAATTAAATTATTACTTTTATCAACTATTGCAGTATTATTATTAATATTTGATGTTAAAAAAAAAAAAAAGACACGATTCAGTAGCTGCTATAGTTATTATTGTGTTTTCTTACAGTCGTATAAGGCAACTGTCTCGCAGAAATTTGCAAGATTTGTAAAATTTCCATTTTTCTTTCGTCTCAACTCTTCCTGATCCACTTGCCCGATGTTCATCTGCGATTAACCTCCGATGAGTGTCTCGCAAACTTTTGAATTTTTTTTTTGCACTATCTGCTGTTAATTTTCCTATTAAAATAAATTTCAGTTTCAGATACTTCATTTGAATACATTGCCGTCGAGCTTTTATCACCTCCTTCGTAAATTCTTGAGTGCGCTTGTATACCTGTATACGCATACACCTGTTCTGGCCACGCTACGGCGCGCTTCGTTTAACACTAGGTTTACGGGACCCGTCCGTCAATTTGACGGATTTCAAACTTTGAAATGAAACACGCAAAAAACCATAGTATTAATCTTAACTACTTTGCATCGTAAATTTATAATTTCATTAAAAGAGTTTATACACACAATCATTATTTTCTTAAGCCTTATAAATTTGGAAATTTGTATGTGGTATACCTATCTCTACGAGACCCGTCAAATTGACAGGTTAGCTGATTACGTAAACAATCCTTATATATTTGCTTCGTTTGTAAAATTATTTCTCCAATAGTAAATATAAGAGTGAAAGAAACGTTTAAGATGCCCCCAACTCATTATCTCAATAGCGCCTTGATAAGTGACATAAAGCGAATTGTGTGGCCCGGGTGTCATGACGTCGCTTCGCATTGAATGAAATCGCTTACCAGAGTGATCCTCGCGTTATTCGAAACTCAAAGCATGCAGTAGACTAAATTTCGTATCGAAAAGACATTCGGTTCATGTGTTGGTGCAAACATAACACACACACAAGCAATTTTCACAGCCGACGATCGCCGACGATCGCCGACGTTAGGCTGCGATATGCTTTGAAGTTCGTATACCGTCGCAAGTATCGGTTTGTAACGATCTTCGAAGATATCTCTAAGGCACGAGCCTGTCTTCAGTATACATAGTTGCTGCAGTGACAGTGGTAAGAACATTTTTCGAAGACAGTGTGCAAAAGTTTTGGTTATTGTAGTCTCCGCTTATTGTAAGTATTTACAATAGGGTAATTGAATTTGGGCACAGTATTTTTTACTCTCACCGATCACCCTTTTCTAGCAATCATGAGTAGAAACAGGAGATATAATAAGAAATTGATCAAAATTACCAACATGTATGCAATGAGGATTGTTCTGAGGGTACCTCCGAAGAAGATCAATATGAATTAGGTGAAAGTGAAGATTACAGTGAATATTCTGAATCCACTGAAACTAGAGAAATAGAAGGATCTTTGGATAGTGAAGAGGAAAACTTCTTCAATATGCGTCGTAACAAGAAAAGGAAGCGAATTATTTCTTGTTCTGACACCGAGGAAGAGAGGACGAGTTTTTTTTTTATAATATTTTAGATTTGGCAGCGATAAATGCGTGGATATTGTATAAAGAGTGTACCGGATCGAAAATATCCAGAAAGGAGTTTATATTTTCTTTAGCTGATAAATTAGCTGGAGAAAACAAGGAGAACGTTCGTCAAAGTTCAGACGTTTCAGTTCTGTAACCTTCAACATCAGGAGTCCGAAAAAGTTGCCAAGTGGGCTACTATAATAAAAATAAAAGCAGTAATTGCTGTATGTATTGCAAAAAAAAAAAAAAAAACGTATGCGGAAAATGCACGAACGAAATTCAATACATATGTAAAAAATGTGCTCTATAAAAATGGTTACCCCCTGTAGCGTTTATATTATTGTTATCATCTCCATGATAACTTAAAAAAAAAGATTTTGACTTATTAATAGTTTATTTTNATTAGCTGGAGAAAACAAGGAGAACGTTCGTCAAAGTTCAGACGTTTCAGTTCTGTAACCTTCAACATCAGGAGTCCGAAAAAGTTGCCAAGTGGGCTACTATAATAAAAATAAAAGCAGTAATTGCTGTATGTATTGCAAAAAAAAAAAAAAAAACGTATGCGGAAAATGCACGAACGAAATTCAATACATATGTAAAAAATGTGCTCTATAAAAATGGTTACCCCCTGTAGCGTTTATATTATTGTTATCATCTCCATGATAACTTAAAAAAAAAGATTTTGACTTATTAATAGTTTATTTTTACGTGAAGCCTTATATTGTTCATCTCAGACTTAGTGTGAATAAATTGATTTTGTTTAAAGTAAATACGAATTTTCATCCACCCGTCAATTTGACGGCGACTTCGTATGGGATAGGTATATAAGAAATTCCCGTAAACCTAGTGTTAAACTACTACAGTTTCGTAAATAATGCGCGGATCTTTACGAAAATTTGAGAGAATATTTTTCAAATAATATTCTTTCAGAAAATCGAAAAAAAAAATCGATTTTTTGGGCGACGTGTCCCCTTAAACACAAATATTTATTAAAATAATTTTTTTTTACCATTCAATGCTTCAGATACTTCTTGCCATAGCGGGCAGCAACAGTTTCTTTACTGCGCTGCTCTAAAGGAAGTTCAAAATTCCATAAAGGTTGTCTTGAATTTACTTGTAAAAGTAAAATTTCGACTTCATCGTCACTTAGTTTTTGTCCTCGCTTAGCCGTAGAGCCAGTGTTGTTTTGTTTCTTGTTGTATCAATAGGTTAGAATGTAGTATTTAATTTTTTACAAAGCAAAAAATGATTTGTTTAATTTATATGAAACAGAGAATTGTTATAGGTATTACCTCTTTAAAATCCATAATATTTTATATATTATAATATTTCATAAATAATTATTTAAAAAAACGTAATCGTAATTATAATCGTAATTATAATCGTAATTATAATTGTAATCGTTTTTAGCGTCAAGTAAATGATACTACCAACGTTAATTAATTTAAAGCTCAGATATTTTCAGCTTTATCGCTGCTTCTTCTTATCTAGATGGCACTTCAATTGAAATTATATAATGTGGTCAAATTTGACGCTCAAAGCTAGCGTCAAGCGTCAAGCGTCAAGCGTCAAGCGTCAAGCGTCAAGCGTCAAGCGTCATCATGAAATCGCAACTTTAATTGTTAATAATTTTTATTGTTCCTTTAATGATTTATAAATTTAATTAGTTATCAATCGTATCGGTGCGAGCTTCTGTTCAGGATAATGCAATTTGTGCTTCATTATGGCATGTCCTACTTTGCCGATATTGTCCTGGTACTCTGATTTCCATGGTGGTATTGTTAATTCCAGCCCATCCGTGTCATCCGATTTTTTACCACGTTTCCTATCTCCACCAATTATACTTTTCCCATTTCGATCGAAATTAGTAGGAAATTTTGGTAAAGGAGGTCGAATGTGAGGACGGCAATCGCGTTTAATGCTTTTTAATAGACTCGTAGACTCGCAAATTTGTGTATCATCATCGGTGATCTCAGTTGTTTTCAATCTTCTACCTGTGTTGAGATATAATAAATGTAAAAAATAAAAAAAGAAATATTTGTGCAAGAAAAATTGATTCAATTGATCGTCGTTATTGCTTTTATTTTTACCTCCATTGTAATCCATCATATATGTCGTCATCATTCTATCTTTTTCAACTTCCATAATTGTTTCTTCAGATGGCCCACCTTCTATAACTCCATATAAATAGGGATATTTTTCTTCCAACTAAACAAAAATCCAATTTCAAAATCAAATAAGAAAAATGACGAGTTATACTACTAGGTAAGGATAAAAATTTTATTTCAAATGATAAACCTTTTTCAAATAAACATATGGCTGACCAAATTGTGTCTCTTCCGTTTCAGGACTAGGACCAGTTTTAGCAGAGTATAGTTTAGGGTCGAAAAGAGGTCCCATTGGACCAACTCGACTCCAATCGTATCTTTCGCCATACGTTCTTGCTACCTGAAGATCTTTTGGATCCATGCCACAAGTGCAAGGACCTATTCGAAAGATTTCATCTTTGTCTGTTGCAAGTTTTTCTTTTTCTTTTCTTGTTGGATAAGGCCAGGTGTAATCTTTTTGATAGGTTGAAACGTAACGATCCATTTTCTTGGATTTTTTTTTTTTTTTTAATTTTATTTATCTTTTATCTAGCAGGAAGTTGATGACATCTCGTTTGAACTCTTGTTAAACGATCTTGGCAGCTTGAAGATCTTTTAACTGTTCTATCTTTCTCGAGGAACGTTATGTTATGTTATGTTATGTTATGTTATGTTTCCTCGAGAACGTTAGTACATCGTTCGAAGACGTTGATGATTCTTCGTAAAGTTTCGAATCCATCTGTAAAGGTAACGTCGAGTTTCGAGGAAGAACCGGTCGGTCGGTCGGTCGGTCGGTCGGTCGGTCGGTCGGTCGGTCGGTCGGTTGATCGTCTTAACAAGAGATTATTTGGATAGCTCGGTTATACATCTACTTCTCCTTTTGCTCTTTTTCCTTGCTATTCTTACATGGAAACGACGTGCTGGATGAGTAACTCTCTTTTCTCATAGTCACCATGTCATTCGATTTATTTCGCGCGTTGAACTTTTACAGTAATCTTGCTATTTCATCTTCCGCGATATTCATAATCATGATTTATGATATAAGAGTGTTTTTATGAAAGATTTTCATTTTACGAACAATTTTAGGATCAATTTTAAGATCGAAATTTTGATTGAAATGTAACCATTAATCGAGACTAGATTGCCAATTGTTTCGATTAGATTCATCAATTCATATCATTTCATACTTATAATCACGGAGCCTAGATAAGCCTAGGAGGGCGATCGACGGGACAGATATTTTGCCACTAGAGCGCGTTAATGTCGCGCCTTGTCAAAATAATTGTAGTTACTTACACGTTAATCTAAATAAATTAACCAAATCTTATAATTAGCAATAAGAAAAGATTTTTTATTTTTCTACAATTATTCCCAAGATATTATCGTCAACTTGTTGAACGTCCAATTATAAAAGTAAATTGTGTAGGAAGAAAAAAAAACTAGTATTCAGTTCTTTTCTTTATATTTTATTTTCTGGAAAGGAAAAAGTCTATTCAGAGACTAAAAGAAAAGATTAGGAGAGCCATAAAACCATAAACAAACCTAAGAATTATCGAGACATATTGGTGCGATGAAAACCCTTTGTGCGGTGTTGGGACCTTTGAGAAGTTTCAGAGTCCTATCTAAGCACGTACGATACCATAAATAAATAGTTTCCACTACCAAAAAAACATAGGCTGTACTCATCGGTGGACTATGGGCTGGATCCTTATGCTATTGGTCAATAAGATTCATAATCTCCTTCCCTTTCCAAAGGGGTGTAGCTCATTTCTGATATAAATATGTGGAAAGAAGTAAGAAGGTGTCCTTAGTTAGTTATTAGTCTGTATCAGTCGTCAGTTAGTCCGTCTGTATTGGTTTGTGTGTTATCTGTTATTCTGCAAATCAGTTAGTCGGTTTTATATTTGTAACCCTTTTTTGTATTCTGTATTTTTGTAACCACGTCACTTTTTGTAAACTTATTTAAATACCGCTCGACATCACATCATCATAATTTAATAAACTATATTATATCATCTTCAGTTTTATATTTCTCTTTGTCTGAAAGCCCACAATTGTAATTTATTATCGTAAATTGCACTTTTTACAAGACTAGACTTTTTACCATTTGCATCATTAAGGGGTTATATTACCTGTGGTACAGTGAATAAAGACGTATTTCTCTGATTTAATTTAGCATTCTTATTACGATCTTTGACTCGTCTACTTGTACACCCATGAACAATACATTTATTTACCATTTTGAAATAAATATTACTTTTTCGACATTAGCGAACATAATGAAACCCATGTCGATCGCCCTCCTGATATCTAGGCTCCGTGCTGCTTATAATCATCAAATGACATGAATCGCAATGTTTTTCATTTGCAAGGTATGGGTCATTGATCGTAATTCAGAAGGAGAGTTGAACAAATAAACTGGACGAAGTGAATATTCGTTATACATAGGGAAGAATAATCACATACTATGTGAACATTTTTGATAATGTACTGATCATGCATATTTTGTTCGTGTTTTGTTCGCGTTTTGTTCGCGTTTTGTTCGCGTTTGCGTGAACCTTTAAGTATACACGGTTTTTCTTTTTCTAAGAGAACAAAGCTACAGAGTAGTATCAGAAGATGGCACCGTTAGCACAAAATTATTGCCCTTGGCATGGTGCCACCCTTAAGGCTGTTGTTGTTCACCATTTTTCGCTCCAAGCGATTTGTTGTACTTAATCACGTCATGTAAAAAAGTCTACTGAATATTTCATTTAGAATTGTTTTTAATTAGCTTTGCTTATTAGTTTTGCTAATATTATTATTATTATATATATACCTATATATATATATATATATAATTTGAAGAATACAATTTGGGAAGCAATCGTTAACTTGATATATGTATATATACCGTTTTCTTCCAAGTAGGCAAATAGATTTCGTCTTCGAGATCAACTCTATCTTTCTGTATTTTTCATTTTGCTATTTGGCTGGCACAACTCCGATCTGGAAGGAAGGAAAGCTCGGAAACGAAATGAAACGATGGTTGCTCTAAAGATATCGCTGCGTCCACATCGCCAGGAATAGAACCAGTGATGTCATCGTTCATCGTCGTCGTCGTCGTCGTCGTCGTCGTCGTCGTCGTCGTCGTCGTGGTTTGAACTCTGACGAAATCGTAATTGATCCTACGACCAATCATATCAAAGCAAAACGATCTCGATATCTTAAACATTTTCTTGCGTATATTGTAACCCATTTTGGGGACACATTTTCCAATTTTTGTTCTTTTAACAACTGCAACTTTGGAATAAAATATAGCTTCATATTTAGATAAAAACAACAACAATTATGGCCAAAAAAGGTTTGCACAGTTATTGTATGTATAAATGTACACGTGTATGGTGTATGATTACCTATAATGAATCTTTTTTTTTTTTTTCATTTCAAACTTTCCTAGTTTCAAAAGATTTTCTATCTATCTTTTTCTTCTTTTTTCTTCTTTTTCTTTTTTCTTTTTAATGGTACAAAGAAACAATACGCAAATGTCGTTTTAAAGATCAAAGGGTTAAAGAAAATTTACGAGGATCGACTTTTTCAAGATTTCTTCTTTATAATTTTCGTATCGTGGAAAATTTTGCTTTGAAGATATATACATACTGTCCGTTTCTGTCTGTGTTTGTCTATCACTCTCTCTCTCTCTCTCTCTCTCTCTCTCTCTCTCTCTCTCTCTCTCTCTCGCTCTTTCCCTCTTTCTTATTCACTCGGGGTAAAAGCGTAGGCGGAAGAACGGCTTTAGCAAAATCGTTTCGTGGAATTAAGACGGCTGTAGTAGACATCATCGTAGACGTAGAGTTAAGGGATTCTTTTTTCCTTTTTATTTTTTTATTTTTGATCGAGATAAAGAGACACCAAGAAGTTTTATAACCGTTTACAGCTATCAGAACACCTCTGATCATTTATATCAAATGGAAGAGTTTTTTGTCCTTTCTGAATTTTTTAAAATACTCTCTTTAGATATAAATCTTGTAGGATATTGGGTAAGAAATTGTGCTGACGAAGAATTAATAATAAATTTGCGAAAGAATAATAAAGCAAGAATGAAAAGATCACATTAAAAGTGATTTAAAAGCCAAACACAATTACAATGTACACGCTTCTTTCTTTCTTTCTTTCTTTTTTTGTTCTGTTTTTTTTTTTTTTTTTTTTGAAAGCTCTTGTTATAATCTAAGTGCTGACTCAAATCGTGATGTAAAAAAGACAAAAAGAAAAAAAGGAAGAAGGAACCAGGGGCAATGGGATGTTTCATGACGACAGAAATGTCTGACAAAGGGATTCATTGAGATTTCAAATTCGTTGTTACGGAGAATAATCCTACGTTGTTTAACTTGTTTTTAATAATAATTAATTTTAATGAATTTATAGAATTAAATTCATAGAATAAGCTGTTTCTCTGTCTCTCACCTAGTATTTTATGAATTGTCACCATTTCTATGAATTTTCTCTAGAAATTTGTATTTAGAATAGATAGAACTTGGTGAATTTCTTTGAATTCAAATGGGAATTGGTCTGGAAGCTTCAGCAAAATTGTATACTTACATTTGTTTCTTTCCTTGTTGTTTTTCTTCATGTTTGACTAGGTACTTGGTTACTCGGTAGCATACTGAATTAGTCGACTTTAGTCTCTTTCGGGGAAGTTCTTTTCTGGTATAGAGCTGGTATACTAGCAATCTCTCTTTCACTCTCACAACATTTTCTTTATTAACTGGAATTCTTGTGAAAGAAGAAGAAGAAGAAAAGCCGAGGGACACATCGTTCGTATATCTCTGTCCTGCTTGTCGGCTTGTCCTCGTCGGAAAAGACGCATTTGAAATTCAAAGAAGTTCCAGAGAAGTTAATAGATCCAACGCGCATTTATTGGTTACTTAGGACAGAAAATTCGTGTAATTTCATTCCAAGCCGAGATCGAGAAAAGACCGCCGTCATTGTTGACTCATCCATTAGTACGGAATCGTTTACAAATTTATAGGACAATTAGATATAAATATAATTCATCAAATTTACTTTTATTTCATAATCAAATATTGTTAATGATTCAGCAATCTTTCTAAATATACAATGATTTGTCAATAAATAATAACAATATTCATTATTAATTTAATTTGATTATGTTAACACTTAGTTGACCACGCTTGCCGCACCTACGGCATCTACGGTTTCCATTTTCACGCATTTTTCGCAAGTTACGCGTACTGATATGCGCTATTTCAAATCAAAGTAGTTTGAAAATTATTGATTATATAGATAAATAAAGAAAAACAAAAAAACCTGTTGCTAAGGTCAATATCGGGGGAGATCTCCCCGATCGGTCGGTCGGTCGGTCGGTCGGTCGGTCGGTCGGTCGGTCAGTCGGTCGGTCGGGGCTAAGTGTTAATAATATAATAATATTAAATTATTTTTTAATTATTATTATATTGTAATATTTATGATATTAATAATAAAAAGTATAAAAAAATGATGTCATTG